AATGTCATATACCTCCGGTGCTGTCTTTTCCCTCTGTTATAGAAATCTAAAGCTTTACCCGTTTCTCCAAAGGAAGGAACCCATACCACTCAGCAATTGCTTTCCTAGTGGGAAACTGTGCCAAAGCAGTTCTTGGATAGGAATGCATTTGCCAGTTAAAAGGTTACCTTGTCAAGGTACAGAGACCAGATTCCAATCCGGTCAGCTGGTAATATCTGCCAGATGTGCTGTGGCGTTATCTGAAACAATGTCCCTCTCCTCTAGCTTCTTAGGGAAAGGGATTCGAGAAATGTCTACCTGGATTGGGTAAGCGTAGCCCATAGCAGGCACCACTTAGGCATTTCTCAACTTGTGGGTGCCTAGGTGTTTTGGCTCTCAGAAATCCTAGGCAGTTTATCAGCTGTTAGGATTGAAGGCCAAAACATCTGGGGATGACCCACAGGTTGAGAACCACTGACTTAGGGGGTTTCATGGGTAACAACAGAGTGGCAAAGCTGACACGCAAAACAGGTGGCAGTCATAAAACCTAAATGCCCCCTTTGATCAGAGGAGGAGGCTGATTCAAACCCAGTGGCTTTGTCTGAAGGTAGATGTCATCTAAGCAAAAGGGTTCAAAGCCAGCAGTGCTTGGAACAGCAGCTTTTTGTCTCCTGCCATTCTGACAATTGTGCCTTTGAGTGACTTCATCCAGAGACTGTGCTTACAAACAGCAAGCCTCTGTCAGCCTTTGAAAGAGGCACCATCTGACTTTTTAGGCACGAATTTGTCTGTGCAGTGGCTTTGGTTCAGGTCCAGTCTTTTAGCTGTGTGATTTATTCCAAGGATTTCTGAGAAGGAAATTGAGGGTGCCAAATGAAGCAAATAAATAAATAAATCATGAGAACAGTGTATCTACATTGTAGCAGTAACTGCCATAGCTTGATGCTAAGGAATCACGGAAGTTGTATTTTGGTGAGGCACCAACACTTTTTGGCAGAAAAGGCTAAAGACCTTGTAAAGCTACAATTTCAATGATTTCATATCATTGTGCCATGGCAGCTACAGTGGTGTCAACCTGTATTGCCAGGTGCCTGCTGGTTATAATTTGGCAGAATAGCTCAGGATTGGTTTCTACTACCCACCTGTGAAATCCCGTCACACTATGTATTCTATGCAATTATGACAAATAACCTAGGCTTTAGGCTTTATTTATCTTATTATTTTTTGGAATGGGACATCAAATGTGGGAAAAGCAGATTGGAGGCTATCTTTTTATTTATTTATTTATTATTTCAAACATTTATATCCCGTCCTTCTCAACACCTTCCCCCGGGGCGGGGGGTGGGGTGGGGTGGGGGTGGGGAGCAGAACTCAGAGCGGCTTACAAACCAGCAACCATTAGATGCCCACAGTAAACAAACATTAACAGTACAAAACAGATTGACATTAGATAAAACAGCAAAATTATAAATATCCACTAAATGTATAAAGGGTTTTTTTAAATAACAAAAATATAGTCTGGCCATGTTTTTAGGCTTTTTGTCACAATTCTTCATAAACTAGCCACTAATGGCTAGAATCTGCTTCCCAGATACCTTTTCCCATCAGCTGGATTACTGAAATTCTTCACATGTGGCCAGTGGCAAGTTTCAGGTAGGTAGAGGGGAGCGGGGAAAGCAGGAAGAAGCTGAAATAGAAAGAGCAATGGAAAATGCTAGTTGGAAGTTGTCTATGAGTAATTGGTTCAGACCAGTCATCATCTGACCTGTGATTCCTCACAGCTTACTCTTAAGGGGGTATGGTCTTCTTGAGAAGCAAAGTTTACCAGACCTTTGATTTAAGGTGCTCAAAATGGTGCATATTGATATTTCCATCTGTCTGGAGTTGGTATAATGAATCCTGATGCAATCATGTTATCTAAAGCAGATAGCACGTTCCTTTTAATAGTTGGTGGGAAATGTTGCCAAGTTGTATGATATACTTGTCAGCATGGGGTGAAAATCAGGCAATCTTTCAGGTGTTGGACTGCTATTCCCAGCATTCCCTACCATTATTTATTTATTTATTTATTTCTCGCATTTCTATTCCATCCTTCTCAACCCCCAAAGAGGGACTCAGGATGGCTTACAATGGGCCCCATTAAGTATGATGATTAGAGTTGCTGGGACTTGCAGTCAAACAACACCTGGAAGACTGCATGATTCATGCCTCAATCAGCCACCTTTGCTAAACATGTCCTGTAAGCAAAGGACTCCAGGCTAACAATTTAGGCAGAGATCATATAGGGTCCTTTGATTTCTCTTTTAGTCTAAATCACAGAGAAGCATACATTTTCTTTGAACCTCACAAGCTCCTAAACTAAATGGTGAGGGGCTGAAATGCCATAGATATGTTTCTATCCAGGGGTAGGAATTATATTGTGGCTTCTCAGAAAGATGCCATGACATGCCTAGTGCCAGCTACAGCACAAGGTTGTGTTACTGATTTATTCATTTCCCAGGTACAGTAATGAGAACCATGTGTCCCTTCACCTATAGTATCGCCTCTATGTTGCTGAACGAACAATAATCCCTGACCTACAAAAATGTCCTTGGAAGCATTTTATCTTCCTGCTAGTGTAATCAAACCCTATTTTGTTCCCCGGATCCCCTATCCTGACACATGACATTGCCCTCTCACCCAGTGTTTTTTACATTTTAATTCTTTGCAACTGGCCCAGCCACTGTGATTAGTTTTCTGTGTTCAAAGTTCTGATTTTATATTGTTTTTATTCTTTTTAATGTGTATATTTATATTGGTTCTGTATTTATTTTTATTTTTTGTTTTCTGTTGTGTTCTTGTATATTTTCTTGTACTACTGGGCTTGGCCTCATGTAAGCCGCCCTGAGTCCCCTTGCGGAGATGGTGGCAGGGGATAAATAAAGATGATGATGATGATGATTATTATTATTATTATTGGCACCCTAGACATTCCTCAAAATTGACTATGTCAGTTCAATAAAGTTGGATGTGCAGCCTTGCAATTTTGAAGAATTGCACGATTCCCATCTCTGCCGTTGTTGATCACCAGTTCTTCAAATATTTCCAATAAGTGGTTTTAAAGCAGAGCTCCTCTTCAACTCTTGCCTCCATAACCTTTAGGGTTCTCTGAATTGAAACAGAGGAGAGCTGAGACCTTCATAGACCAGAGTATAGTGTGGGTACAGAGTACCTACTTTGTGAGAATAGTTTGAAAGATTATAGAACAGGGCCAGGGACCTTTCAGACCTCTTACCAGTAATCCAGTTGGCATAGCCAGTGATGACAACAAATGGGGAGCTGCCCATCCTGTGTTTATGTAGCGTAGAAATAAAGGAGGGGTCCTCAATCTTGGGGGTGCCTCCTTTGGATGCCTGCACAAATTTGCATGTGTTTCATTTCTTCTCCAATAGCATTTTTAATGATCAAATCCAGAAGCCTCTTTGCTTCTGAATGTGCTAAGTTTGAATTTCCAAAAAAAGTATTGTAGAAGTCTAGAGTTGGACAAGACCATGAGGGTCATCCAGTCCAATTCCTGCCATGCAGGATCACATATTCAAAGTATTCCCAACAGATTCCAGTTTCTGTAAGCATTTGAGGGTAGGAATTACTGCTTGTCAACTTGAATATACCTCCTCCCCTCCCCAGACCTTTGCTTTATCTCTGAAATAATCCTGCCATGCTGTGCTGATAGCGGCTGCCAGTCTCGCTGCCCCTGCAGCACTGTGACAAATAAAATCCATGCCAATTTCAGCTGAGTTACAACAGGTGTTCTAATGCCAGAGGGCAAGTGGTGCCCTGTCCTTATTCAGTACCTGTTGCAGCAGCTCCCTGCTCCCCCTCGCTTGGATTGGCTTTATATTTAGTTTCTCTCTTCCTCCTCCCCACTTTCCCTAGGAACAAGTCAAATGGACCCTTTGCTGTAATGAGAACAGCTCTGTGCCTCCCTTGTACTTTGTGTCCTGTACTCTCAATGCATTATCCTGAATAGCACCTCAAATTCCCTTTAAATAATGAGTTAATTAATATTAATTAATACCTTGGCTTCCATTTAAAACATAAAAGCTGGCAGCAACAATATTAAGACATCCAGCAGTAGAAGAAAAATGTGGCAGTTTTTGCCATGCTTAAGGGAGTCCCCTTGAAATAGGTGCACGAGGTGGGGTTTCCTGTGCCATTTGCTGGGACCTGTTTGTCTTTCTAACGTGCCTCCCCCCAACTTGGAAAGGAAGGAAACCTTGGCTACAATAGGACTTTGTTTGCCTATATCTTATTCAGCCATGTGCTTGTGCAATTCTGCGCAGTCTGGAGCCCAACACCAAGGTCGCCTGAGGATAAAGGAACCCGTTCAGCTGCTGCAGCTTGCTGTGTGGTGTGTGTGTGTGTGTGTGTGCGCAAGGGGGGAGGTGGGGAGATTGCTAGTCAGACTATGGCCTGGGAGGGATAGTACAGCCGCCTGGGCAGCCTGGGAAAGTTGTAGATTAATAATTCATTTCCTTGTGTGGTTGGGAAATGAGGTGGATAGGCAGTCTGCATGTACAATGTTATTTTTATGAATTCCCAATCTCTCTTCCAGCTAGCCTCCTGTCTTTGAATATACAAACAATAATATTGCTGGGAAGAGGGTATTGTTAGGAAAATTTCCTTCAAAGACTAGAATTCCTAGCATCCTTCAACAAAAATGAACAATCCTGGCTGGGAGATTCTGAGAGTTGTCATCAGAAAGTGATTTTTCCATGATCTGCTCTTGAAATTGCCAATTTAGAAGCCAAGGGAGGGCTAATGCAGCACTTCAGAGGTTGCTGGACTACTACTTTCAGCATTCCTCATTCTTGACTGTGGAGCTGGGACTTGTAGTCTTAAGAACTTTTGGAGGACCACATGATTCTTACCCCAGCCTGTCTTCTAAATTCCCCTACGTTTGGATTTCTCACCCTGTTGTCTGCATCTCTTGAGTCCTGATGATGTTTCATATTTCTCTTCCTCTTTTTGTGGTTTTACAGGGACCTACCTTGCAGGTGACTCTCACACAGCCAAGCAGTCGTGCCAGCAGTGGTTCTGAAAGGTGAGCAGTAATGGGTAGTGGGTGGGTGTGAGCAGAGAGGAGTTGGTACTCCTGTGGCGAGAATCATATGAATGTGTCATGTTGGAGGTGTTGTGTACTATACACAGTCAGAATTGTAGCTTGTTGTCATCACTGCATAGGAACTGTACAGTCTTTTGACTTTAGGGCTTAGAAGGGTCTTTTTTAACACTACAATTCCCAAGATGCTACGAGCTGTAGTTTGAAAATTAATATTTTCAAGTTTCGGTCATAGTTTTTTACAAGTACTTCCAGTTTGTTGTTAACTTCTCTTTAATGCTGGCAAGGCGTTTACCTTGAGTCAACGGTTTCTTAAACATGGAAATAAAAGATTGAGAAAATATTTTAAACAGGGGTCCACAAACATTTTAAACAAAGAGCCAGGTCACAGCCCCTCAAACTTGAAGGGCCGGATTATAATTTGAAAAAAATGAATGAATTCCTATGCACACTGCACATATCTTATTTGTAGTGCAAAAAACACTTAAAATACAATCATTAAAATGAAGAACAATTTTAACAAATATAAACATATTAGTATTTCAATGGGAAATGTGGGCCTGCTTTTGGCTGATGAGATAGGGTTGTTGTTGTTGTTGTTGTTGTTGTGTGCTTTCAAGTCTTTTCAGACTTAGGTTGACCCTGAGTGAGGGCCGGGTGAATGACCAGGGAGGGCCGTATTCGGGCCTTAGTTGTGTTTTGGTTTTATTTATATTGTAATTTGTTGTTCGGGCTTGGCCTCATGTAAGCCGCTCCGAGTCCCCACTGGGGAGATGGTGGCGGGGTATAAATAAAGATTATTATTATTATTAGTTTGAGGATCCCTGATTTTAAACATATATGTGGCTAAAGCTTTCCTCAGCAACATAACAGGCCATCTGAATTGGATTTTCTTCTACAGTTGCACATACAGAAACTGGCATTAGTATCTTAAGTGTTAAGGGGAAAATTAAGGTACGGGCAGATTTGATTTTGAAAATGGTTGCACACTGAAACCTAGTATTGGTACTAAAATGAGCTATGGCAGAGGTTAGATCATACTAGGAAGAAATTTAGTTGTTGAAATGTGATGTTAATCTTAAATATTGGGGGCTAGTCCAGTTTTGAAAATATATTCTCTTTCCTAAAAATGTTTCCTTTAACCACATTTGCCCAGGATGACTATATAGAAATGGAGAGGATAATCTTCATGTGTTCAAAGCATTCTTCTCTTCATCATTTTTATACATTCTAGGATCGGATTCTTCTTCTTCTCATTCCTTTCATACATCATGGCTATTCATGGCCCTAAACAACAATACTGTATTGTACCCAAACTTAGGGTTAAGCCCAGATGTTGGATGTTATCCCCATGGCTCAGTCCTAGTCCAAGTGAATGCCTTCCAAGTACAACAGTCCCCTTACTCCTTAAGATTTTATTCCTTTTTCAGCTAGAAAGCAATAGCAGGAGACGAGAATTCATGGGAAGAATTCTGCCTGGTGACCACACACCTCCTGCCCTGCTTCCAAGCTAATAGTTCCCAGCTGGGTTGATGCTTAGCTATGGAGGAAATGACTCTTTCTATCTCATCTCTTGCCAGGCAGGGTCTGGGAAAAAGCAGAGGGGATAGACATTTATTTGTTGGAGCTGAGGCCCTGGGATTTTTCCTGTTCATCAGATATAGGCAAATGCAGAGGGTCAGGGAGTGGGGACCTGTCCCCCAGTCTGTTACAATGTGTATCGGCTGGGAGCTTGTGGGGAATGGAGATAGAATGACCAAGGCCTAGTAATGGAGCTAGGGCCATCTGCTTGGTAGAGGGAGGACTTAGAGCAGAGGATATAAGGCAAGCCTGAGAATGCTGCCTCTTAATTCATTCTCTGCATTAAACCAAATGATGAAGTCATGTAGAGAGTGCCTAGAAGTTTGAACTCATATTCCCAGCCACAATATATCTTGGATGAACTTCCAGGCCAAAGAATATATATTTTAGATAAGCTTGACTTTTAGCAACTCTCATTTTAGAGTAGCTTTGTTGTTGTTCATTCGTTCAGTCGTTTCCGACTCTTCGTGACTTCATGGACCAGTCCACGCCTGAGCTCCCTGTTGGTCGTCACCACCCACAGCTCCTTCAAGGTCAATCCAGTCACTTCAAGGATACCATCCATCCATCTTGCCCTTGGTCGGCCCCTCTTCCTTTTTCCTTCCATTTTCCCCAGCATCATTGTCTTCTCTAAGCTTTCCTTTCTTCTCATGATGTGGCCAAAGTACTTCATCTTGGCCTCTACTATTCTTCCCTCCAATGAGCAGTCAGGCTTTATTTCTTGAAGTATGGACTGGTTGGATCTTCTTGCTGTCCAAAGCACTCTCAGCACTTTCCTCCAGCACCACAGTTCAAAAGCATCTATCTTCCTTCGCTCACCCTTCCCTATGGTCCAGCTCTCACATCCGTAGGTGACTACGGGGAATATAATTGCTTTGACTATGCGGAAATTTGTTGCCAGTGTGATGTCTCTACTCTTCACTATTTTATCGAGATTGGACATTGCTCTCCTCCCAAGAAGTAGGTGTCTCCTGATTTCCTGGCTGCAGTATGTATGTCACGGACTCCACGTTTTCTCCCTCTATTTCCCAGTTGTCAATCACTCTTGTTGCCATAATCTTGTTTTTTTATGTTTAACTGCAACCCAGCTTTTGTGCTTTCTTCTTGATTAGAAGGCTCCTCAACTCCTCCTCACTTTCGGCCATCAAAGTGGTGTCATCTGCATATCTAAGGTTGTTAATGTTTCTTCCAGCAAATTTCACCCCAGCCTTGCATTCCTCAACCCCCCCACATCGCATGATGTGTTCTGCATACAAGTTGAATAGGTTGGGTGAGAGTATACAACCCTGCCGTACGCCTTTCCCAATCTTAAACCAGTCTGTTGTTCCATGGTCAGTTCTTACTGTGGCTTCTTGGTCCTTATACATATTCCTCCGGAAAGAGAGAAGGCGATTTGGTATGCCCATACCACCAAGAGTAGCTAGAAGTCTTATTTTGCTGGAGGTTTTCTGTCTTTTGTGTCCTTAGAAGTGTTCTTGAAAGTAAAGATCCCTGGTTCTCAAAATGTTAAACATAAGGTCATTAAATGGGGAAGAGAGGCACTCCACTTCTGACTCTTACGAAATTCCTTTTTCTTCTTCTTGTTTTCTTTTCCCCCCTCCTCCATTGTTTCTTAAACATACACACACATTTCTCTCAGACAGTCCAGCCAGCATCCTCTACTGAGCTCCTTCATTTCCCAAATTCTTGGCAGCCTTTCTGTATAAACAGCTTATTTTTAGTCTGAGGTTAACAGTGCAAGATCTTGCGTCCCACTTTCCCACAACTATGGAGGGAAGGGGCCTGTGGGGCTGAGTTCTCTTTTCTCTCGAAGGGGAAAGTGCAATGGTGCTCGAATAAGAGTATGTATTGCCCAAGAACAAGTTTGGAAAGTACAGCAGCAATCTTCAGACCTTGCAAACCCCGGGCCCATCTTTTTACTAGTCATTAAATCTAAAAGTATTCTTCTTTTAACCATATATTTACACAAGGGCAGTTCTGCTGTTGTGGGTTGCTTTATATCAGACTATCACCCACTACTGGTACCCGATCCCGCAGTGAATACATGTACTCTTCAGTGGAGCGGATCAGGAACCAAGCTACCATTTTCTTTTGTTTTTCACCTTTTGGCAGAAAAAAAGGGGTAACAATAAGAAAAAAGGAAGGAGATTGAGAAAGGCAAAGAAAGAAAAATAGACAAAATAGATACCAAGTAGCACCTTGGGATTAAAGATACCCCTAGAGATGTTTAGGTATTAAAGACATCTGCTGCAGGAGAGACAGAAGAAAAGGACATTTTGGTCCAAAACTGGAGGGGATATGAATCTAGATCACTTCTTGCAAATGTGTTGGATTACAACTTTTAATATCCCGAGCCAGCAAATAATCGACAGTGGTGAAGATAGTAGTAACCGGAGAACCATCAGGTTGACAAAAGCAAGTTAAGAATCTTGTAGTAGAGAAAAAAACTCGTTTACATCTCGATTGTGCTTTGTTGATGACTCCATCCCCTTACATTTGATTGTTGCCCTCAGGTCTTTGCCAGTGACTGAAGAAATGCACAGTCTGATCACAGAGAAGAAGTGTGGTCGAGTACAAGGTGAATCTGATGCTATTGTGAAAGGTGAGATATTATGCCATGTAGCCCACAGTTTAGACCTAAGTGTCATTTTCTTACCCACCTCCCCAAAATCTGGTTGGAACTCCAGCACTGCCCAATCTTGTAATGGAGAAGGTATCTAGTACTTTGTGGAGGGGGGAGAGGTCGGTTTGTGTCTTGGAAGGAAGAATTTTTCTAGACTTGAATCAAGCTTGCTGCCCTAGTTACAGCTTGCAATGAATGCAAGAATATTTAAACTCAGCATTATACTCAGTGGTTGCATAAAATTCCAGATCATTTGATCACCTGTAGCTCATTGTAATCAGGATCGAACGTCTCTCCACACCCTTGAAAGTACTTTCATCAACCAAGGAAGGAATTGATTTAAATTCAGGGTCCATCATGCCCTTTTTGTCTGCATCCTCCAGGCTGGCTTCAGAGAGAAGTCCGGGGTGGTATTAAAACCCCATGGTTGCGTCCTCGCAAGTACTGGTTCGTTCTGACAGAGGATTCCCTTGACTACTACAGTGGGTGTGAGATGAGCGCCCGGCGCCTTGGCTCTCTTGTTCTCACTAGCCTTTGCTCTGTGCTGTGGCCAGACAAGCAGACCTACAAAGAGACAGGTAAATAATCTGTGTTTGTTCATAGCTCAGAAGTAGGAGAAAGCCCTGGCTCTCTGCCTTCAGTATTTTGAACTTTAATCATCTTTTTGTTTTGTGTATATGGCACTAGTGGGCAACCCAAGGTTTGTTCTTTTCCAACCAACTTTCTTTTGCATGCCTTCTGTAGAGATTTGAGGGATTACATTTTTGGACTTCAGTTCCCAGAATCCCCGTGCAGCATGGACATTGAGATGAAGTCCAGAAAAGGATTTTTTCCAAGCTTTCACTCTGTGTTATGCACAGGAATATAGGATGGTGGTGAGGTTAATCTTGGATCCCAACAATTATCTTTCAGAACATTTTCCAATATCTGTAGCATTGAAGTTGGATTGGAGGAACTCTTAAGGACTGCACATTAGCTCTATTGTTTCTGGGAATAACACGTTCATTTTCCCTCTTCTCCAGGATACTGGGCTGTTACGGTTTTTGGCAGGAAACATTGCTACCGACTATACACAGAACACTTAAATGAGGCTGTGCATTGGGTCTGTGCTTTGCAGAAGGTCATTGTCAGCAAGGCTCCTGTGCAGACCCCCACCCAGATTCTCATGTGTGACATCGAGGTGAGGAAAACATGAATGGAGTGGCTGGAGATTGAGTCATCACAAGATCATAGTGTTGATGCTAGGAATGATCGTGGGAGGTTGATCAGTATCTTAGCTGGCAGTCAAGAAGCTGGGAAGATAAAATGTTTTTTTAGAAATGTGCGAGGATTACACGGTTACAGAATGGTTTACCTTCTGAAGATCAGGAGAGGAGTCTTATGTATATAGCTTTGACCTGAAGAGTTTGTATATTTTATTTTATTGTTAAATTATTATTATTTATTTATTTATTTACTCCTTTTGTATACCGCCTATATCAGCCAAAAAAGGCGACTCTAAGCGGTTTACAGTAAAAAAGTGCAACATTGAACAATACATGTGACAAACATCCACAAACAATACACATAACGTCATCACGCCTCGAATAGAATCAGATCCAAATCTCACAGTCGTTTTACCATTCCTTGTTCAGTATGCCGTCTTTCTAAGTCAGATGTTAATTGCATGCTTATCCGAACGCCAAATTAAGAATTGTTTTATGAATGCTGAAATAACAATTTTGTGGATTGTTCAAAATGTACTTCTCTGATCAATCCTCTGAATATTGAACTAAATTCCTATTATTATCAAGATGATGAGAGTTATAGGACCACACATCTGGAGGGCTTTAGGTTGGAGAACACTGAAAGTCATGCATCTAGTCCAGAGTAGTGGGGTGGTTGAATCTGAGGTCCGTGCGGTTGGTTAGCCAACACCAGGCATTCACATTCACACCAGCTTTGTGAAGTGATTTCTGGTACTGATTGGGTGGAATTGGAATGATTCTCAGACCCTTTTCTTCCTCCCTCCCAGGAAAACCGTAATAATCCAGAAATCTTGGATCAAATTTATCACAATAACCCCGTACTGTGTTATACAGGTGGCCCAATTTATGCACCATTGTTGCCTTTTCCTTATGCAGGTGAGTGACTCCTTCCCGAAACATTACTTTTAAAATTAAAATTGTGGCCTTGATTTTTGGCAGTATGGGACTGGATGCTAGATGGATTGGGTACGTGGAAATTTGAGTAACAGCTCATATCACTTCCTGCTTGTATTCTGCAGCTCCAGGCGGCCAAGGTTATGCAGGGCTCCGTGATGAAGCTGTTAAGCTCTTTCACTCCCTGCAGCAACTGGAGGGGGTGCGAGAGCCAGCCCTGCTCATGCAAGGGGTGCTGCAGACTTGCCACGACCTCCCACCTCTAGTGGATGAGATCTACTGCCAACTGGTGAAGCAAACAACAGAACCACCGATGCCAGGTGCACCCTCAGACTTGCGCTACTGGCAACTGCTCACGTGCATGAGCTGCACGTTCCTGCCTTCCCTGCCTGTATTGTGCTACTTGCAGCTGCATCTACAACGGTGAGCTTTTGGGAAGGAAAAAGAAGTTTGGAGGTGGTTGCTCTGATGCTTTGTTCATGTTGTAAGGTGGAGAGTTAAGTAGACAGTTGCCTCCCTACTAGTCTGGGGGCAATTTTGTCCCTTTTTTTAATTTGCACAGCTCTTTCTCATGGGGAAACATTTTAGAATAATAATAATAATAATAATAATAATAATAATAATAATACATTTGTATTTATTATCTGCCTCTTCTTTCAGCTCTAGGCGTGGCACAACATAGTTAATTAAATACATCTATAAAATCACATATTAGAACATAGTTAAAATGCAACCATAAAAGCATATATTAAAACACACACATATTAAAATACATGAGACTAAACTTGAAACACAATAAATATTCAATATGATTTAAAAGTCATAGTTAAAACGGACTGGGTAGGTCTGCCGGAAGAGATAGGTCTTTAATTATGTCTTAAATTTTGACAGCTCATTTAGCTGTTGGATCTCTTCCAGGAGGTTATTCCACAGTCTTGGAGTGACGGATGAAAAGGTCCTCTGCTTGACGTTTTCCAGTCAGGAAAAGTTTCCTTGTCTTCCCTCCCAGCCTCTGCACTCAGAGGCAGGATATTTCCGATTACCGGATGGTGGGTTGACAAGCAGGGAAGAATATTTCCATCGTGCCCTGCATGTGAACTTGTGGTTTGCCTCAGTTGTTGCTGGTAGACAGGAAACTGAGCAGGAAGATCGTTGATCTGATACATGAAACGAACTTGCAGCTTCTGTGCCGGGAATCTCCTTGTGGGTCCAGAAGCATTTGTGGAGAGGAAACATAGCACCACATGCCTTTAGGTTTTTTTGTTTGTTTTTTCCTAACGCCAGCCCTTTCTTGACCCAGCAGGACAGAAAATAAGTTCCCCGGCTCAGAGATGGTTATGTATGGACACTTCATCACAGAGGCCCTGTGCAAGACCAAAGGCCGGGAGTGTGTGCCCTCACTGGATGAGATCACACGGTTAATGGGACGCCAAGAAATGGTGTGCACTGTGCACTGCCCTGGCACTGACACGTGCCAGGTGGCCATCACTTCCCATACCACAATCCAAGAGGTGAGCAGAGGACAAGAACCTAGTTAGCAGTGGTGGGAACAGGATAGTTTCAGTTTCAAATAAAATCCATCACTGTGTGTAGAAAGTTGTGACAAATCCAAGAGATACTGATGCTGTTACTTCCATCTACCCAGATAGGGAATAAGTGGGGTTTTTTAAAAAATAGATTTTTATTACATTATACATATACAAAGAAATATGAAGATTTGGATAGGATTTACAAGGAAAGTGGGAGAACACCAAATTTATAGAAAACTAGGAAAGTATTAAGAATAAATGGAGATATATAAAAATAAATATATATATTAAAATATTTTAAAAACGAGAAAGAAAGGTCCTTGACTTCCATTCTGTATCTTCTGTATAATTTCTTATTTAACTATTTTTGTTACTTCTCGTTTCCCTCTAAAAAACTCATTTATTCATAAACAAGGAAAAAGACAGAGATAAATGTATAAAAAATAATAAAATAGTAAACTAACAGGCGAAAAAAGAGAGCCCCACAAAAACACATTGCTAAATTCTGTCTCTCTGTCTCCTCTCTTTCACATATTTCTCAAAGGACGACCAATCTGTTCTTTTTATTGGACTTCCCGAGCTTTTCTTCAAAAAAAACATTAGTTTGCCCATGTCTCTAATTTCTTGTATTTTATTTATCCAATCATCTACTTCCGGAGTTTTGTCCATTTTCCAAAGTTTTGCATATGATACTGCAGTTGAAATATAGGTAAATAAAATATCTTTGTTTTGGTCCAAGGTAAGATCTGAGTCAGTAATATTTAATAAGTAGAACTCTGGTTTTCTTGGGAATGAAATTCCCAATATTTTTTGGGATTCTTCGTGTATGTCCTTCCAATATTTTTGAGCTTTTTTACATGTCCATCACATATGAAAAAATAGGGAACAAGTGTTTTAAAAAAGTGGGAAATGTTGTCAGATGCAATTTCCATCAGTCTTAGTAAGCATAACCAAAGTTGAGGACTGCTGGGAGCTGAAGTCCATCTACACCTGAAGGGCTGCACTGTGCTCACCCTTGTTCAAAGATCCTGCCTCTGTCTTCATCAGGAGGGCCAAGCATTCAGGAATTCACCTTGCAATCCCCTCTTCCCCCACAGCTTTCTTTCCTCAGCATGCTTGACCCTGTCTGTGTCCCCTTTGCAGCACTGAGTGCCCTCCTGCTGGAAATGGCCAGGCCTCCTGTCACCCCCTTTGTCTCCTCGCCCCAGGTGGCCCGGGAACTGATGTTGCGCCTGGGCCTGGCCTGTAGCCCCAACTCGTTTGTCCTCTATGAGGAAAGCTGGCAGCATGGATGCCCCCTTCCAGAGGATGCCCTGGTGGCAGATGTCCTTGCGAGGTTTGAAAAGTAAGTGTCCTTTACATAGAACTGTAACTTGTGTCTCAGCAGTAAGGGGACAGAGGAATGAGCCCAGGAAGTGACAATATGTTGACAAATCTAACTTTTAAAATACAGCAAGATCCTAACCTTTTGGAGTTGTGCAGATAAATTAGTAAATATGGGGGCATTGAAAGAGGTGTAAGCACATGGCTATAGAGGCGAGGGCCTCCTAAAAACTAGCAGAATGTTCAAAATAAGCATATAGTGCAGATTTAAGATAAAGGCAAGAAACCTTTAGTTGGGTGGCTAAAAAGACAGGGCAGGGAGAATAGTGCTGAACCATATAGTTCTAGGGTGTCAAACGTATTTCCGTCAAGGGCCACATCAGCCTTATAGTTGCCTTCAAAGAGTCGTTAAATCAAGAGAGAATCCATGGATACTGAGAGCCAACGAACACTCTCTCTCTCTCTCTCTCTCTCTATATATATATATATATATATTTACAAAGTGGTCAGTGCACTTTAGTTTTTACCTAGTGTGGGTCCCCAGATGCTAGTTGGTGGAAAGGTTGGTGCAGCAGGGCTGCTCCACCATCGCCGCCATTTCCCTTTACTGTGCCATGACCTCACCGCTAGCTAGCCATAGCCCGAAGTTACTTCAAGTCACTGATGCCTTATAGGATGACAGTCCTGGAGAGTTTTACCAACCAGTCCTCCTTTGACCATCAAATTAGTACTGAAACTTGGCTTGAATTGAGCCCACTGACTTCTTTGCCCATTCTCAACTTTTGAATCTGTTCCTCTTGGGCTTTAGTGGGGACTTTTGTTTTTGTTTTCTGATTTTTTAATTTTTATTTATTTATTTTGTGGAGACTTCTCTTAATTTTCTCATGTTTTTCACTGATGACTGAGCTTAGTGAAATAAACTTTTTAATTGATGAGTCTCCACAATAGTTGCCACAATAATTGTAATTGGTTTTAAATGTTTTTTTAAATAATCTTTGAGTTTTCATTTAAAAATACATTATAGATAAAATCAATATTAAAAAAACCCCAAAAAACTAAGTGCCTAGAAGGCTACCACCGAAGTCCCTATGACTGAAAGACAAGAGAGAGGGGGGGAAAAAAGAAACGAGAAAAAAAGAGAAAAGAAAAAAAGAATATAAAAATAACATAAGAGTGCTGGTTTTGTTGTCAATTTGGTTTTAAATGTTTTTAATGCTTAATATTTATTTATATCTTATTTCTTATTATGCTTTGTGTGATTTTTATTTTGCATTTTATGTTTAAATGTGCTTTGATTTGTATTATATTTATACACTCTGTATTTGCAGTGTGGCTCTGAAGTGGCCAAACTGTAAGCCTCTCTGAGTCCCCTTCGGGTTGAGAAGAGTGGGGTGGAAATATAGCAAGTCAATAAATAAATACAGAAATGTTATTGAACGGCAATTCCCATAACTTTTGGTCATCTACCATGTGTATTGGGGATAGGAACCAAACAACACTGGTGGCTGTGAGGTTGAAAAAAGATTTTGCTTGTCTCTCATATCTAGCTTGACAAACCTTGTATTTAAATTCAAACACCACTATCCTGAATAAACAAGACAAAGTGCAGCTTTCCAGATGTTACTGTATCACAACTCCCATCATTGCTAGTAATGATGTATAATGATGAGGAATACAGGTATAGTCCAGCATCTGGAGGGCCATATAAAATGACATGGCAGGCCAGATTTGCCAGACCACATCGATCTTATCAGCTAGTCCTTTCCATTTGCCCAATTTCTATGAAAGGTTATCAAACACATAGGTAGTGTTGGGAGTTTGGTGTCCTAGTGCCCTGAAAGGCTGTTTTTGCTTGTCTCTCATATCTAGCTTGACTGGGGAAGAGCAATACTGGAAGCCTCCCGCAAGACTCTGGTTCAGGCACTATGGGCGTCCAACTGTGGACAGTGTCCCATGCGATAGCCAAGAATTTGCACTGCTATTTAAGAAGGTAAGGATCAGTCGTCATGAAAGGTCAAGCCTGGAAGAACAGTGTAACACTTCTTTATCCTCTCCTCTATAGCAGGCATGGGCAAACTTCGGCCCTCTAGGGTCTAGTGTTCTGTTTTTTAAAAAAAATATATTTTTATTGATCTTACTAGCCGTCACCTGCCAAGTGTTGCTGTGGCTCTGTCCGTGTATATGTGTTTTGTGTGTGTGCATATGTGTATATTTGTATATATGTGTGTTTGTGCATGCATTGTAATGTATTTTTTTATTTTTTGGCTTTTTAAGTCCCTTCCGCTGTGTTTTTATGAGTGACGGTTACTCGTCGGCCTGATGGGTGTATTGTGTCCAAGATTTGGTGTCAGGTCACCCAGTGGTTTTTGAGTTATGTTAATCCCACAAACTGACATTGCATTTTTATTTATATAGACTAGCTATGCCCGCCACGCATTGCTGTGGTCACCCTTCCCTTTCTTTCCTCTTTTCTCTCTCTTCTTCCTTCCCCCCCCCCCCTTTTTCCCCTTCCTTTTTCTCCCCCTTCTTCCTTCTCTATCTATTCTTGGACTGCAACTTGCAGCAGTCCTCCTGATCAATCTACGTATCTATCTATCTACCTATGTCTAATCTATCTATCTTATCTATCTGGAGGATTGCTAGGAATTGCAATCCAGAAATAGGAAATTGCAAATATGCAGGGATTGGGATGCTGCCAAAGAAATCCAAGGAGAAGAAAGCTTTCAGCTTGGAGGCAGTGCATTTGGTCATCCTCCTCTCCTAAAGGGCCTGGTCTAGGGGATGCTGGGAGCTGTAGTCCGAAAGAGTGTGTTTAAGCTATGGTTTGTTTTGTTTGCTGGGGGAGTTGTTTTTGTGCATATGCTGCAGCGTCTTTTTGCTTTATTAGCTTTTTAAGTCCCTTCTGTTGTGTTTTTCAGTGTTTTATGAGTGATGGTCACTTGTTGGCCTGGCAGGTGTGTTGTGTCCAAATCTGGTGTCAATTCATCCAGTGGCTTTTGAGTTATGTTAATCCCACAAACGAACATTACATTTTTATTTATATAGATTTCCAGAAAAGATGTGGAGAGGGTGGGGGAGAAGGGGAGGGTGTGAAGGATAAGGATGGGAGTGGGAGAGTAGGGGAAGTGAAGAAGGGAAAGAGTATATACACACACACACACACACACACACACACACACACACACACACACACATACACACATACATATATACACACACACGCACACACACACTTAAAAATTAAATTATAGTTAAAAGGGGGGAAAATAAAAAGGGAAAGAGGAAAAATTAAAAAATTGAAAAATATATTAAATATAGCTTAAGCGACTGCAGGGGGGGGGGGGAGGAAGGGGCCTGAGGCTGTTAGGAATGGGGGAGTTGGAGTCCAAAACACCCAGACAGCCAAAGTTTGCCCATGCCAGCTCTATAGGCTTACAAACTGGCCTTCCATAGCTGTATGCTTGCCTCTAAGGAAGCACTCCTGTTTGGAGCTGCATTCAACTTGCAGAACCTGAATGGCAACTTTTCAACTCAGGTTTTTTGGGCAGGCTCTTGCCTGTCAGCCTACTGTACCTCTGTCTTACTCTTCTGCCTTCTGACTCCAAGATCTGTGCCACCAGGGGATTTATCACTGCAGTATTATCTGCTGGACTTTGGAATGGCACCTCTCTGGCCAAGCAGAAGGTGGGACAGAAGGAAAGACGACACAGCCATCTTCAGGAAGAGGCCAGCAAGGGCAGATGGAAGCCGTTTCAAGTGATGAGACAACCGGGAACCACACCAACCTATCTCAGCCTGGTGGACAAGTGGTTGGCCTTTGGTTTTGCCCTCTTTGATGCAGAGGCTCATGAGGTAAGTTCTCAGCTCCTTTTTTAAAGCACTAGGCATGATGTTGAGATATAGTTGGTGTTTGGCATGCTAAGAATGACAAGGGATAGGAGGCTTACAGGAGTTGTGAGAAGGGGAGTGATGCTTTTGTCAAAACAGGATATGCATAGTATTGATTTCAGATGTAGAAGTATAAAAACACATGATGCTGGTAGGAAAAGAGAGGCGTGTTTATGAAATAGATTTGCTGGACATTTCTATTATATCATTCTTTCCTATTAGGATCAGACAAGGACATTTATTCCTAACTAGCAATCGTTTGCCACGCATTGCTGTGGCCCATTCTGTGTATATGTGTTTTGTGTGTATATATGTGTATGCACATATCTATGTATATGTGTATATATGTGTGTTTATGCATATATATGTGATTTTGCGCATGCATTGTATTTTTATTTTATTTTTTGGCTTTAAAATCTCTTCTTCTGTGTTTTTCAGTGTTTTTATGAGTGATGGTCACTGGTTTATTTATTTATTTACTTTATTTGTATACCGCTCTTCTCAGCCAATTAGGCGACTCAGCGGTTAACAACAAGTAGCGGCAAAAATTCAATTGTTGGCCTGATAGGTGTATTATGTCCAAATTTGGTGTCAATTTGCCCTGTGGTTTTTGAGTTACGTTAATCCCACAAACAAACATTACATTTTTATTTATATAGATCTAAGAAAATGCACATGTTTAAAAGGTAGCTAAAAACAGTATACTATTCCTATTTTGCTGTTGGAGTGATACTACTGCATACAGGACCAAGACTGGTAGCCAATCCACTTTGTCTTCCACCCCAAGGAGATAGTGTTGTAGATTGCAAGCTAAACACTTAGGAGTTTCAGATGTAGCTGTTCCCTTTGATGGGAATTTGTTCTGGGTGTTCTTCACCATTGATCCAGGACACACTGACAAAGAGGACTGGAAAAGGCTATGTGGGACGCTAGCAACATCCACAAAAGCCAGTGTGATACAGTGGGTTGAGTGCTGATCTACAACTCTGCATATCTGCTCAGCCATGGAAACTCACTTGATAGCTTTGGGCAAGTCACACGCTCTCAGCTCCAGAAACTCTCTCTAATGAAAAACGTGAAAAGCACTCTTTTAAAGAATGTATGTAAACTACATTGATGGTACATTTAAATAACAGGTGCCATAATCTGAAACAAACAAATAGTAAAGAGAATTACAGAAATCTGATTTCTTTATAATTCCCTCTGGTTTGGGTAGCATTACAGAGGGAGCCTCCGGTGGCGCAGTGGGTTAAACCGCTGAGCTGCTCAGCTTGTTGACCAAAAGGTCGCATGTTCGAATCAGAGGAGCGGTGTGAGCTTCCGCTGTCAGCCCCAGCCAACCTAGCAGTTCGAAAACATGCAAATGTGAGTAAATCAATAGGTACCACTCTGGCGTGCTGGCCACATGACCTTGGAGGTGTCTATGGACAACGCCGGTTCTTCAGCTTAGAAATGGAGATGAGCACCAACCCCCAGAGTCGGTCACGACTGGACTTAATGCCAGGGGAAAACCTATACCTATACCAGGGTTCCTCAAACTTTTTAAACAGAGGGCCAGGTCACATTCCCTCAAACTATTGGAGGGCCGGATTATAATTTGAAAAAAACATGAATTCCTATGCACACACTGCACATATCTTATTTGTAATGCAAAAACCACTTTAAAACAATACAATAATTCAAGTGAAGAACAATTTTAATAAATATAAACTTATTAGTATTTCAATGGGAAGTGTGGACCTGCTTTTGGCTGATGAGATAGGATTGTTTTTGTTGTTTTGTGCTTTCAAGTCGTTACAGACTTAGGTTGACCCTGAGTGAGGGTCGGGTAAATGACCTTGGAGGGTCGCATCCAACCCCCGGGCCTTAGTTTGAGGACCCCTGACCTATACCTACAGAGGGGCAGAGCTGAAGCTGTAGTGGCAATCTTGTCATTATTCAATGGCTCTTGAGATCTCCTCTTGCATTGCCCAGCTTCAGTAATAAATACCTATCCTCTTAATAGTTTGTTTTTTGGTGTCAGGAGCGACTTGAGAAACTGAATGTCGCTTCTGGTGTGAAAGAATTTGCCATCTGCAAAGACATTGCCCTGGGGATGTTTGATGTTTGACCATCCTTGTGGGAGGCTTCTCTCATGTCCTTGCATGGGGAGCTGGAGCTGACAGAGGGAGTTCAACCCATTCTTCCCTGATTCAAACCGCTGACCTATTGGTCAGCAATCCTGCCAGCACAAGAGTTTAACCCATTGTGCCACTAGGGGATCTTTTTCAGTAGTTAACTTAAGTGTGTCTTTCCTTCAGTAAAAGATCGTCTTTGGAAGCTGAATAGTTTGCAGAATATAAACTGCCATCCTTATCATTAGGGCACATCCTTTCCCACTCATTTGTTGTTCCTGGCCTTGGCCAAAAAGAGGAGGAATTATTTGGGACAGCCATCTGCAATGGATTAAGACATGCTGAGAGACCTTTTTTTTTTCAAATCCAAGAAGTCTAATAGCATAATGCCCCCAGTATATTATAACATTTTGGCTGGAATCTGTTTATTAGTGATGGATTGGAAAATCACTTGTGCGTGCAACTTGTTTTGTATACTGTGCCTCCTGCACAGAATACAAAATCCTCTCACCAACAAAGATTCCCAAGAGGGTGTTGCTAACCAGGGAAGGGTCAGGGACCATATCCCATTTCCCATCAACTTCAGTTGCAGTGAAGACTAGACACTTCTTAGTTACCCCACCCACAGATAGATAACCACATCAGGAGTGCATGGAGCACTAGCTATTTTGTTTGAAGACCAATCATAATCCAAGGCTGTGTAAGATGTATCTTATTCACTCTTATGCAAAAATAGCACTGATCCCAGCTCCAAGTATCAGGCTTAAGCCTTAAATCTGCCAGCGATGGGGTGGAATGACATCTTATCTCACAGTGATTTTCTGCCTTGATTTCAGGCAAAGGAGATTGTGTAGCATCTACAGGCAAGCATGTTCAGCACCACCCTGCCACAGGAGACTCTCACTGACTACACTAACCAAGGCTTCACTCAATCTGCAAAATACGCGACTCTGCCTAAGCTGACGGACTCCTATTTGCTCTGACAGCATCCTTGCTGTCCAGAACCAGTGCCTTCTCCAGTCAGATACTTGTAGCAGGGATACTAGTGGTAATTTATGCTCCTAAGGAGCTGGTAACTATGTTTTCTCTCCTGTGCAGAGGGATTCCCCACCCCAACTTGTATTAAAAAATATTTATATCACTATGCTTCTTGTCGTTTGTTTTGGCATCCTGAAAAAACTGGGTTTTTTTCCTTTCTTAAAAAGAGGTACGAAAATTGGACTGCTACATACATATTTTTTTTGCATTTTATTTGCAGTTGACTATTTTCCACTCATGTATCACACCTTGCATAAGAGATACAAAAGGTCAGTAAATGCTATCCCAAACTGAAGCTCCCCTCCAGTGCCTGGCTCTTCTACAGTTCCTCTTTTGGAAAACAAATTAGGTTGGAAACCATGGATTATTAGCACTGCTGTGAGTATAACTAGAGGGGAAACCTGCCTTGTGAGACAAACTAAATATAGGGTGTTCTGTAAAGTCGGATCTGCCAGCATACAAAGCAGCAGGTGCACTAAAAGCTCTCATCTAGCAGGTCTTCAATATTAAATGTATACACAAACATACTTCCCATAGGGACAATTTCCATTCTTTGCACACATCCCAGCAGAGGACTTTTGTTTTCATTGGTACACAATTCCGCAAGAATGCACATGTAACACAAGGGCTATAAAGGTTAGCAACCAGTCTTTCCATCCCCAAACCAAGGCCACTGCTGGCTTTTCTGAAAGCTGCCCAGTACTACAGCTATGGTTCTGCAAACAAAATGAGTCTTTGTGACTTAATCAGCTTGAAAAGAACAAGGGATTTGCTTCAAAACACTTTTTTTCAGGGATGGATGGGTGGAAGACAGAGGCCAATTACAACCCATTCGATAGGAAAAGAGCAGTACTCTGAAAGAAGAAAGCGAGGGACACATTGTTTTTGAAAGAATTTAAAATGCTGTACTGGAAACTAGAGGCATGCAGTAACATGGCAAGATTACTAATATAGTAGAGTTTCACTTATCCAACCTTTACTCATCCAACATTCAGTATTATCTGATGCAGGCTGCCTCCCGCCCAGATCAACAGCTGTTTCAATATATTGTGATGTTTTGGTGCTAAATTTGTAAATACAGTAATTACTACATAACATTACAGTGTATTGAACTGCCTTTTCTGTCGATTTGTTGTCAAACATGATGTTTTGGTGCTTAATTTGTAAAATCATAATTTAATTTGACGTTTAATAGGCTTTTCTTTAATCCTTATTATCCAACATTTTTGCTTATCCAACATTCTGCTGGCCTGTTTATGTTGCATATACTGTAATATAGTAGGCATGTCAGCGGCTAATGGATAATTCTGGACAGTTAAAAACAAGAATAATATAACCATGTTTATTCCACTGAACTTCTGATTACCTGGTTATTGTGGAAACTATTACAACTACAGGGTGAGGCAGCATAACTTCCTTTTTTAAAATGCACGCCATTCAGTCGATTGAAGACATAGCGGAGTGCTAGTGGTCTCGTTCGAGAGGCAGGAGTATAAAGTTTTATCCTGACACAGTTATTTTTACTTCATTTGTTGACCGCCGCTCTCAGCCCTAGGGCGACTCGCGGTTCAGTTGGCATCATGCGTTGGAACAGTGAGGAGTGTGCTTTTGGCGTTGAGGCCTACTTTTTGAGCGGATTAGGAGTGTCCGGCCCGCTCTCCAGAATTGGCCCCTTGTGATTTTTTTTCTATGGGGTTTTTTGAAATCCTGTGTTTATGTGAACCGTCCAAGGACCCTACAAGATTTGAAGACCAACATCCAGAAAGAAATTGCCAACATAATGCCTGCTATGCTGGCAAGAGTAATGACAAACGGCAGAAATCGGTTTCGTTCTCGTGGTATCTGTGGAATGCACACCTTAGGTATTCTGGCGCCAAAAGGCGGCAGCTCCGGAAAACTTTACTAATAATTAACCTGACTACGGCCCCGCCCTTGCGCTACCAACCACGTGTCACGCCCAGTTCCTTTTTTTCCGCCACGGAAGTGGCAGCTCCACGTTTCTTCTCCTGACCTTTTCTCTCCTCTCACCTATGGCGTCCAGCTTTAAAAGATGTTTGGTGTGCGGGGGGGAACTTCCCCGACACCGACGCGCATGACCGGTGCCTCCTTTGTCTGGGGGAGGCGCACCCGGTTGCTTCCTGCACTGCTTGCAGGGCGCTCACTCCCCAAGTGCGGAAGCGGAGGGACACCCAGCTGAAGGCGCTCCTGTATGAGCGCGCACTCTTTCCTCCCTCCTCCATGCTCCGCCCTCCCTCGGTGGCACCCTCAGCTGAGGGTGCCACCCCTCGCAGCTCGCCACCTTCTCCTATACCTTCTCCCGCCGGCCGGCCAACTGCTTCCGCCGCCAAACAGCCGCCTCCTGACTCCTCGTCCCCGCCTCCTCCTCTAAGCCAAAGAAGAAGAGGAAGGAAAACGAGGTTTCGGCTGCCCGGCAGTCCCTGGCTTCGCCCCGGACGTCGCCAGACGCGCCCACTCCAGCGCAGAGGCCGCGCCGCACGCCAAGCCCGGCGTTGCAGGCCTCAGGCCCAGCCGTGCAGGCCGCGGGTCCAGCGCCGGGCCCAGCCTGCCCCCCCGACGCGGGGGCAGCCGCTTGCCCGCAGGGGCCCTCACCATGCTTCCTCCCGCTTCTGGCATCGGCGGAGTTGGAGGCCCAGGCCACGCCTCCGTCCATCATGGGACCGCGGCTCTCTGAGGTAGGCCTTCCGGCCTAACCTCCCTGGGACCCGGCCTACCAGGCCCAGCCGGCCACACGGGCCTTCTCCCCCTTTCGCTCTCCAAGCCCCTCCGAGTATGCCCTCCCAACGTTTTCTTCTCCCAGGGCCAGCAGCCCGTCCAGCAGCCTCATCACCTGGCATGGGGCAGGGGGAGCACCCTTCTACTCCAGGGACCAGTCCATCCACCGGTCCCCGGAGGGCCGGGCCTACGTCTATGCACCAGTATTGGTGCCTGAACACAACCCTCCGGCTCCACCAGCCCTTTCGGCTCCACACCATGCTTCACCTTCTCTTCCACCCCTGGAGGCCGATGAAGATGAGGTGCCTCCCCATGATTTTTCATCCCTCTCTGGGTCCGATGCCTCGGTCCAGCTGGATTTGATTGCCACGGCACAGCCGCTGGCCCCTGCGGACACCTCCGCCTTCACGTCCCTCCTCGCCCGCCTCTCTCGGGCTCTCAAGGTTCCGGTGGCTGCCCCGCGCCAACCTGTGGACGATTTCCTCTTCCCGTCAGATGAGCAGCAACAAGCACTGTTTCCGGTAGCAGTTCTCCCGAGAATCCCGTACCTCCTCCAACTCACTAAGACCCCTGACCTTCTGCCACCCTCTGTCAACCCGGTGTACCGGCGGAACGAACTACTCTACAAGGTTGACCTTACCACTGCCCCCTGGATCGCCCGGCCCCCCCAACCGAATACGGTGGTGGCCGACATGATGCCGGGCAAGCGCTTCAAGCCGCAAAGTACCCCCTCTGACAAGGAGGGCCAGAAACTGGATTCCATGGGCAAAAAGGTACATACGAGTGCCGCCTTTGTCACCCATCTGGCGCACTATGAGGCTTATTTCGCTGCGTACCAGACCTATCTGTGGAAGCTCATGTCCTCCTATCTACCATACCTACCGGATATCCAGTTCATCGGAGCCGTCCTCGACTCCACTTCCCGGACCGCCTTCCTCCCCGAGGATCGCTTCCGCACCCTTCGTGCGCTCCTCATGACCGCCATCCACCTCCCGTCGGTCCCGGCGACCCATATACAATTCATCCTTGGTCATATGGCATCAACGACAGCAGTCACACCCTTCGCTCGACTCCACATGCGTCCCCTACAAGCTTGGTTCCTCCGTCACTTCGACCTCCTCCGAGACAGTCTGCGGACTTCCCTCTTCCTCCCGTCCCACATCTGCCGCTCCCTAAGCTGGTGGCTCCGCCGACCGATGGTTTGTGCAGGCATGCCCTTCCATCCCAGAGGCCCTTCTAGGATGCTCACCGCAGATGCTTTCCTGCGGGGCTGGGGAGCGCACACCAGCCGCCACTCAACGCAGGGGGTCTGGTCACCAGCCGAATGTCAATACCACATCAACTATCTGGAAATGCTCGCCCTCTTCAAGGGCCTCAAGACATTCCAGGACCTCCTGGCCTGCCACATGGTGTATACAGACAACACCACCGTCGTGTGGTACATCAACAAGCAGGGGGGCACACGATCCCACTCCCTCCTCATGCTCACCCTTTCGCTGTGGCATTGGTGCATCGCCAGGGGCATTTACATCACAGCCGTTCATGCCCCCGGGCGGTCCAACATCCAAGCCAACCTCAGCAGATCCCTTTCACCGGGTCACGAATGGTCTCTCCACCCGGACGTAGCCGCGGACCTCTTCCATCTCTGGGGAACCCCAGCGATAGACCTGTTTGCTGCGCCGGACAACGCGAAGTGCTCTACCTTCTGTGCCTGGGGGGTGATGTCGACACAAGCCGGCTGCCTTGGTGACACCTTCCTCTTTCGTTGGACGGGGCCCCATCTCTACGTCTTCCCTCCGATCTCGCCCCTCGCCAAGGTGATCTCCAAGCTGTACCACGACGGAGCGGAAGCCATCCTGATCGCACCGTGGTGGCCTCGCCAGCCCTGGTTTCTCCTCCTGGCCCACATGGCAGCCGGCCATCACCGCCCGCTGCCTCACCGACCGGACCTCTTGACTGTCGCACACGGCGCCATCCGCCACCCGGACACCCTGTGGCCTCACCTGACCGCCATCCGCCTCCCGTCGGTCCCGGCGACCCATATACAATTCATCCTGGGTCATATGGCATCAACGACAGCAGTCACACCCTTCGCTCGACTCCACATGCGTCCCCTACAAGCTTGGTTCCTCCGTCACTTCGACCTCCTCCGAGACAGTCTGCGGACTTCCCTCTTCCTCCCGTCCCACATCTGCCGCTCCCTAAGCTGGTGGCTCCGCCGACCGATGGTTTGTGCAGGCATGCCCTTCCATCCCAGAGGCCCTTCTAGGATGCTCACCGCAGATGCTTTCCTGCGGGGCTGGGGAGCGCACACCAGCCGCCACTCAACGCAGGGGGTCTGGTCACCAGCCGAATGTCAATACCACATCAACTATCTGGAAATGCTCGCCCTCTTCAAGGGCCTCAAGACATTCCAGGACCTCCTGGCCTGCCACATGGTGTATACAGACAACACCACCGTCGTGTGGTACATCAACAAGCAGGGGGGCACACGATCCCACTCCCTCATGCTCACCCTTTCGCTGTGGCATTGGTGCATCGCCAGGGGCATTTACATCACAGCCGTTCATGCCCCCGGGCGGTCCAACATCCAAGCCAACCTCACCAGATCCCTTTCACCGGGTCACGAATGGTCTCTCCACCCGGACGTAGCCGCGGACCTCTTCCATCTCTGGGGAACCCCAGCGATAGACCTGTTTGCTGCGCCGGACAACGCGAAGTGCTCTACCTTCTGTGCCTGGGGGGTGATGTCGACACAAGCCGGCTGCCTTGGTGACACCTTCCTCTTTCGTTGGACGGGGCCCCATCTCTACGTCTTCCCTCCGATCTCGCCCCTCGCCAAGGTGATCTCCAAGCTGTACCACGACGGAGCGGAAGCCATCCTGATCGCACCGTGGTGGCCTCGCCAGCCCTGGTTTCTCCTCCTGGCCCACATGGCAGCCGGCCATCACCGCCCGCTGCCTCACCGACCGGACCTCTTGACTGTCGCACACGGCGCCATCCGCCACCCGGACACCCTGTGGCCTCACCTGACCGCCATCCGCCTCCCGTCGGTCCCGGCGACCCATATACAATTCATCCTGGGTCATATGGCATCAACGACAGCAGTCACACCCTTCGCTCGACTCCACATGCGTCCCCTACAAGCTTGGTTCCTCCGTCACTTCGACCTCCTCCGAGACAGTCTGCGGACTTCCCTCTTCCTCCCGTCCCACATCTGCCGCTCCCTAAGCTGGTGGCTCCGCCGACCGATGGTTTGTGCAGGCATGCCCTTCCATCCCAGAGGCCCTTCTAGGATGCTCACCGCAGATGCTTTCCTGCGGGGCTGGGGAGCGCACACCAGCCGCCACTCAACGCAGGGGGTCTGGTCACCAGCCGAATGTCAATACCACATCAACTATCTGGAAATGCTCGCCCTCTTCAAGGGCCTCAAGACATTCCAGGACCTCCTGGCCTGCCACATGGTGTATACAGACAACACCACCGTCGTGTGGTACATCAACAAGCAGGGGGGCACACGATCCCACTCCCTCCTCATGCTCACCCTTTCGCTGTGGCATTGGTGCATCGCCAGGGGCATTTACATCACAGCCGTTCATGCCCCCGGGCGGTCCAACATCCAAGCCAACCTCAGCAGATCCCTTTCACCGGGTCACGAATGGTCTCTCCACCCGGACGTAGCCGCGGACCTCTTCCATCTCTGGGGAACCCCAGCGATAGACCTGTTTGCTGCGCCGGACAACGCGAAGTGCTCTACCTTCTGTGCCTGGGGGGTGATGTCGACACAAGCCGGCTGCCTTGGTGACACCTTCCTCTTTCGTTGGACGGGGCCCCATCTCTACGTCTTCCCTCCGATCTCGCCCCTCGCCAAGGTGATCTCCAAGCTGTACCACGACGGAGCGGAAGCCATCCTGATCGCACCGTGGTGGCCTCGCCAGCCCTGGTTTCTCCTCCTGGCCCACATGGCAGCCGGCCATCACCGCCCGCTGCCTCACCGACCGGACCTCTTGACTGTCGCACACGGCGCCATCCGCCACCCGGACACCCTGTTGCTTCACCTGACCGCCTGGTGGATCTGACCGCGGATCTCTCTACCGCGGTTCGGGATATCCTAGCCGCAGCCCACCGCCCATCCACCCAACGGTCCTATGCCCGCAAGTGGATGGTGTTCTCCACCTTTGCCCAGGCTCGCCGGGCCAACCCGCTCACAGCGCCAGCGCTCATTCTCTTGGACTTCCTTGCCTCTTTGGCGCACAGGGGTCTTGCCCTGTCCTCCCTCAAGTGCTACTTGGCGGCTATTGCTGCGTTTAGGAAACGCCACCGCCTCCCGTCTCCCTTCCAGGACCCGTTGGTACAGCTCTTCTTTCAGGGCCGCAAGAACGCGTTCCCCTCCCGGATCCTCCCTCCCCCTGCGTGGGATCTCTGCCTTGTTCTTTCCTCCCTTACCAAGCCTCCCTTCGAACTGCTGGCCTCCGTCGACCTCCCCCACCACTCTTGGAAGACGGCGTTACTCCTTGCCATCACCACAGCTCCCCGAGCGAGCGAACTGGCCGCCCTCCGGGCCGACGACCCGTACATCAGGGTCCACAAGGACAAGTTAGTCCTCCAGACGGACATCGCCTTTCTCCCGAAGGTCGCCTCTCCTTTCCACTCGGCACAGGACATAGTCCTCCCCGCGTTCTTCCAAAACTCCACGTCTCCACTTGAATGCGCCCTCCATCTCCTCAATGATTGGAGGGCGGTACTCTACTACCTTGACCGCACGAAGGCCTTCCGGAAGTCTCCCCGGCTCTTCCTCCAATACAGACTGGACACTAGGGGGGCCCCGGTGTCTTCACAACGCCTTGCGGCTTGGGTCCTCTCAACGATCCGCCTCGCCTACCACCTGGCGGGCAAAGACCCCCCGGAAGGCCTCAAGGCTCACTCCACCCGAGTTGTGGCGACTTCCACCGCCTTCTCCCGCGGCGTTCCGCTTGCCGACATCTGCAGGGCCTGCCACGTGGTCGTCCCCGCTGACCTTTGTCTGTTATTACAAGATCGACCTTCTGTCACGACGCCAGGCAGCATTTGGAAGAGCAGTCCTTTTCTCGACTCTGGCATGATGCCCACCATCCTCGGTAGGTGGCTTTTTAATCTACCTAAGGTGTGCATTCCACAGATACCACGAGAACGAAACTGTGGTTGCTTACCTGTAACCATGGTTCTTCGAGTGGTCATCTGTGGAATCCACACAACCCCGCCCGTCCTCCCCACATCGTTCATGCCCTCGTCTCTGCCGCTTCTGTGGCAGGAAACGGCATGACATGTGGTTGGTAGCGCAAGGGTGGGGCCGTAGTCAGGTTAATTATTAGTAAAATTTTCCGGAGCTGCCGCCTTTTGGCGCCAGAATACCTAAGGTGTGGATTCCACAGATGACCACTTGAAGAACCATGGTTACAGGTAAGCAACCACAGTTTACTCAGTGTATGGAGAATGGGGGACGTCACGTACCTAATTTGATCTTCAAAACTACGTAAAACAAAACTTTAGGTATGTGCCTACATTATTAAAAAAATTTGATTCATACAATGGGTTTTATTAAGTTTTGAAAAGAGGAAGTTATGCTCCCTTACCCTGTATTATGGAATGCTTCCCCTTGGAATAAAGAATGAACAGAATTGGAAATAATACCCAATAAATACACGGTACTTGGGAATTGTTTTCTACTCCCTCTTCAGATAGTATTAGAAAGAGATGAAAGGGAGAGAATGAACAAAGACAAGCTCCATGTATCATCAATCCCAGGAAATCAATGAAATCAATCCCAATCATCAATGGCAGGAAAAACGAAATGCAAAGATACAGAATGGGGGACAATGCCTGGCTCGAGAGCAGTATGTGTGAAAAAGATCTTGGAGTCCTCGTGGACAACAAGTTAAACATGAGCCAACAATGTGATGTGGTGGCAAAAAAAGCCAATGGGATTTTGGCCTGCATCAAGAGGAGCATAGTGTCTAGATCTAGGGAAGTCATGCTACCCCTCTATTCTGCTTTGGTTAGACCACACCTGGAATATTGTGTCCAATTCTGGGCACCACAATTCAAGAAAGGTATTGACAAGCTGGAATGTGTCCAGAGGAGAGCAACTAAAATGAGGTTCTCAAGGGTCTGGAGAACAAGCCCTATGAGGAGCGGCTTAAGGAGCTGGGCATGTTTAGCCTGAAGAGAAGGCTGAGAGGAGATATGATAGCCATGTATAAATATGTGAGAGGAAGCCACAGGGAGGAGGGAGCAAGCTTGTTTTCTGCTTCCCTGGAGACTAGGACGCGAAACAATGGCTTCAAACTACAAGAAAGGAGATTCCATCTGAACATGTGGAAGAACTTCCTGTGAGAGCCGTTCAGCAGTGGAACTCTTTGCCCCGGAGTGTGGTGGAGGCTCCTTCTTAGGAAGCCTTTAAACAGAGGCTGGATGGCCATCTGTCAGGGGTGATTTGAATGCAATATTCCTGCTTCTTGGCAGGGGATTGGACTGGATGGCCCATGAGGTCTCTTTGATTCTATGATCCCTTGAAATATGAAAAGTTTCAGACTCTGAACACCCTTATTCCTTACATGTCAGTATAGCTGCAGTACAGTTACTGTCCCATAAAAACAGAACATAAAATGCCAGGTGGTATTTTATGCAGAAATACAGGTTTGGGTTATTTTAAATGCCCATAGGCATCCTAGATCAGTAATCACCCTGGCACCTATGCCAACAGAAATGTGTTTTAATAAATACAAGTGCACCATGAAAGACAGCTTAGTAGATAAACGTGCTTCTTAAGGAGTTTCAGAAAGAACAAGCAGAAGAAATTACCCTAGAACTGCTTGCTATTAACAAGACCTGGTGACTCCTGGTCTAAGGGAAGGTGCCACATACAAACAACCTCGAGGCCAATGGCCAAGAATCCTAGAATCAGCATCAAAAAGGCATCCAATTCCCTTCCTTTCATGAAGGACCTGTTTGTGCCCCCTCACACACAGACGTGGGAGCTGATGTATCTGGAGAAATCTTGAGGAAAAGATGACAGAAGGCAGAGAGTTCTCCTACAAGCCAACTCATTGCTCTTGTGTGCCCCAGGAGATATAGTCAGGCCGAGTGGCAGCATGATACTCGTCAATCAGCTCCTGGACAATCTTACGGGAATCATCAAGTTCGTCAAAATTCTCCTTGAATATGTCTTCTTTGCGGAACTGTTCCAGGAAGGCTTCGCGTTTGCGTAGTTTGTCATATTGATGGCAGGTACGTTCGAAGAGCTGGACAAAAAATGAAGATGGTTCAGAAAATGCATGAGGAAAGATATACAGGAAAAGTGATTTAGTATTAGGAATACTGTAAATAGACAAGACTTCCCTCGCTATGATAGTAACAACAGATACTACTGAACACTCAATCACTCTTTGCCCATCCACAGCTATCCTACGAGACTGAAACACTCAGAAGACTAAATGGATTCTTGGTTAAAAGAGATAACAAAGCTGACAAAAATGCACCAGTTCTACCTGAAAACTGTGGAAATCTTTCTGCATCTAGAACAATATAATAAAAAGGATACAGAAATGACCTCCCTGAGTACATTTTAAATGCCAGAACTATATCATTAATTTTGAGAACATCAAACCACTCAGTAGAAAGAACAATGTTCCCAGCCATTATTATTTATTATTATTTATTTCTGATATTTTATTATTTACTATATTTCTATACCGCCATTCTCAGCCCGGGGGCGACTATCCCGTCCTTCTCAACCACCTCAGGACGGCTTACATTTGGCAGCAATTCGATGCCGCTACATACAACAGAGCAATATACTGTATATACTCGAGTATAAGCCTAGTTTTTCAGTCCTTTTTGGGGGCTGAAAAAGTCTCCCCCGGCTTATATTCGAGTCAATGTTATTTATTATTTTACTTTGTTGTTGTTGTTATTATTGCATTATGTTATTATTGTTGTTATTATTACATTTATTTTACTCTATTATTGTTATTGTTACACTTTTTATTTTACTCTATTGTTATTATTACATTTATTATTTTACTCTATTATTAGTGTTATTATTACATTCCATTATTTTACATTATTATTATTATTATTATTATTATTATTATTATTATTATTATTTTACTCTATTATTATTGGAGGACATGTAAGCATATTCACTTTGAAGGAGGTTAGAATAATGGTTTAATCAGAGTTGGACAGTCTTATCTTGAATTACAGTTTTATGTAAATATTTAAAAACATTTAACCTAACAACGCCTAAATTAATACAATTTTATTGGTATCTATTTTTATTTTGAAGTTTACCAGTAGCTACTGCATTTCCCACCCTCGGCTTATACTTGAGTCAATACATTTTCCCAGTTTTCTGTGGTAAAATTATATTCGGGTCAGCTTATACTTGAGTATATACGGTAATAACAATTAAAACATTCATTAAAACAGTAAAAACAGTATTAACAGCCATATCACCATTCCAGTCTATTCCATATCCAATTCCATATCCCAAAGTGCTATCTATGATTGTTGTCCAAAAGCCTGGTCCTAGAACCACGCTTTCAATTCCTTCCTAAATAACAGGAGGGATGGAGCCGATCTCATACGGACTCACCGAAGAGATATTGGTGTGATTAGCCATCATCAGACCGCTGACCCTGTGCGCTGATGGCAAGTAGGGTGATTTCCTAGAAAGTGCCACTTGAATGCTGGCCGGGCCCCATGGAATGAAGTTTGCGAGTTTTCTCTCCCGGATCCGCTGTAAACTCTTATGGACCTGATGGAATACAGATGGTTTGTGTGTGTGCAAGTATGAACACAGTTATTTTAAGAAAGGTTCGTTCAAACGAGTATAGACATTTACAGCATATATCACGGGCCTGATAACATGAATGTAGAATGGTAAATATACAGCAATCACATAGCCCACATTGCATTAGCAACAAGATAAACTGGGATAGATACTTCCAGGCTGCCAACCTGGTTTGGGCAATCATTTTCTAGGCACTGACCTGGGTGGGATCCACCTCTCCCTGGATGATGTTCAGGATGGCAATGTAGCAATGGTTTGTCTGCCGATCACGCCCCATGGACACCATGACATTCTTGGGTTGCAGCAGTCGTCGCATCACATCAAGAACTGTAGTTTTGCGAACACTGGCTACCTGTCAATAATCATGGGCATTTATTTGGTGGAGGAAGTGAAACAGTTATACATCACATGAGAAGAGGGTCAATAACAACATGGAAGAAATTTAAGTTGTTTTACCTGCAACCGTATTTCTTTGAGTGTTGATCTGTGAAATCCGCACAGATGGGTTACCTGCCTTTTTTCCTAACCTATCCTCTCCACCTGAAGTCGCTCTCCACTCTTTAGATGTCAAGAGAGCCCTGTCATTCTACATACATAGGACTGCCCCCCACAGGAAGTCACTGAGAATGTTCCTCAAGTACAGACAGGATGCCTTGGGCCTCCCAGTAACTTCACAACGATTCGCCTCTTGGATTGTTGCGACAATCCACCTGGCCTATCAACTAGCGGGCAAGGACCAACCACACTCTGTGACTGTCCACTCCACTTGCTCAGTTCCTGAAAGGTGTCCAGGTTGAGCAGATTTGCAAAGCAGCAACATGGTCAACGCCATCAACGTTTGCTGCTCATTACAAGTTGGACATCATGGTAAAGAAAGACGCCACTTTTGGCAGAGCCGTGCTGTTCTCCTGTGTGGCATGACCCGCCACCAAGGTTAGTAGCTTGCTAATGACACATCTGTGCACATTTCACAGACAACACGAGGAAGAAGTATAGGTTGCTTACCTGTAACCATATTTTTTCAAGTGTTGATCTGTGAAATCCGCACAGCCCCGCCCATCCTCCTCGCTGGATTATGCCTCAGAACCTCAAATGCTATCTGGCTACGAGGAACTAAGGCATAGCCCTGCCCAGGGCCATCACGGAGATTAAGATCCTCCGGGGAGGCCCTGCTTTCCGTCCCGCCGTTGTCACAGGCACGATTGGTGGGGACAAGAGACAGGACCTTCTCGGTGATTGCTCCCTGGCTATGGAACTCCCTTCCTGGTGAGATCAGGTCGGCCCCCTTCCTTCTGTCCTTTAGAAGGATGGTAAAAACTTGGCTGTGGGACCAAGCTTTCGAGACAGGGCAATAAAGTGGCAATAGGAAAGATTACCAGGCCAATTAGATTTTACACGGATGACTAGGACAGTTTTAAATGGTGTATTTTAATATTTTGATAAATGCTTTTAATGTTTATGTATGTATTTAAGAATTTGTGTCCCGGCATTGAATGTTTGCCGTATATATACTGTGCTCCACCCCGAGTCCCCTTCAGGGTGAGAAGGGCGGAATATAAATGCGTTAAATAAATAAATAAATAAACAAACAAACAAATACCCATGGGAAGTGTGGGCGGGGCCTTCGCAAATTATTCAATTAATTGACTCTAGAATGTTCCGAAACTGCTGCGCATGCGCAGGGGAAACCCGTCTGTGCACATTTCACAAACAACACGAGGAAGAAATGACCATTTCAATGGAGTCTCTCCAAGAGGTTGTTCTGCTGCATTACAACCAAGAAGCATCCAAGGATATAGTGATATTCAGAAGGAAAATGTTGCAGCCTTTCAACGCAGGCAGAAGGAAATATAGACACACCACTCACACAACAACTCTTTTTATAAAACAGGGTTCCAACTTTCTTGTGCCATTCTGGGATCTCTAAAGATGAACTATGATTGATAGAAATTAAAATAAAACACCCAGAAGCAAATATCGCTAATACAAAAATTAAGAGGCAGATGATCTGAAAGAAGGTAAGCACACAAAGTTTCACACACGCACACCATGCATCTGATACCCTCTTCTGAATTCTGAGCCTTTGCAACTTCAGCCTGCCCTGCTGCTTGTGGAGAGGGATGAAAAAAGACACAGATAAGGAATATCCCTTGCAGGGGAGGATAAAATACCCCTTTGCACATCAGTGTTCCTCCAGCTGCAGAACGGCCACTGAATAGCCCTGAGCACAGTTGTAATTGCCAGTCACGAATTGCCCTGTGACCCAATTAATGGTGTTGGTCTCTCAAAATTCCTGTAAAACTACACTGGTGGAACTTTACACTTTGCCATTAAGTAGTATCTTGGCCACTGATCACACATGTTGCTATGAGGTGCCATGGATTCCAATTAAACTAGAGGACAAGAGACCAATTGCTCGTTCTCAAATAATCTGCATATATATCTATCTCCAGAAAGGCGTAAACGGCAGAAGGCCAGCAATGATGCCCATAAATGTCCAGAGCATGGCTTAGGGGCAGAGAGAGGGAAAGTACTTACAGCCTGGTCTGTGGTGAGCGGTGTGTAGCCTGTGATGAGGAAGTGTAACCGGGGCGTGGGGATAAGGGAGGCAATCAATCCAATCAAGTCATTATTCATGTAGCCTGGGTAGCGCAATGTCGTGGTACTGGCAGACATGATGGTGGAGACCTAGGAAGGAAATAATGATAAAAATATGCCAAGATTCACACCAAGCTCAGAAATCAGAAACAATTTATTTATTATTTATTTCTCGCACTTCTACCCGCCCTTCTCAACCCCCGAGGGGGGACTCAGGGCGGCTTACAAAAGGCACAATTCGATGCCAACACAACAATGAGATAAAAATAAAACATATATAAACAGTGATTAAAACAATTAAAACAATCCATTATACATCATAATCAATAAAAACCAATCTAGTGCTCAGCGTTTGCCAGCTCAGAGTCCGTAAATTCATTCCACATTGTCAAATCCATCAATTCTGGTCGTCGCTTGTCCTTTGTCTATCTGCCAGATTACCAAAAGCCTGGTCCCATATCCATGTTTTTAATTTTCTTCTAAAAAAGAGGAGGGATGTCGATGACCTAATTTCTCTGGGGAGTGAATTCCACAGGTGAGGAGCCACCCCCTGTGAGAAGGCCCTGCTCCTCGTTCCCACCAATCTCACTTGTGATAGAGGTGGGGCCGAGAGCAGGGCTTCCCCAGAAGATCTTAAACTCCGAGGTGGGACAGATACGCTGGGCCGGAACCGTATAGGGTTTTGTAGGTCAAAACCAGCACTTTGAATTGTGCTCGGAACTGGATTGGCAGCCAGTGGAGCTGACATAACAGAGGGGTGGTATGCTCCCTGTATGACACTCCGGTAAGTAATCTGGCTGCCGCCCGCTGGACTAATTGAGGTTTCCGAACAGTCTTCAAAGGCAACCCCACGTAGTGTGCGTTGCAGTAATCTATTCGGGATGTAACAAGAACGTGGACCACTGTGGCCAGATCAGACTTCCCAAGGTACGGGCGCAACTGGTGCACAAGTTTTAATTGTGCAAAAGCTCTCCCGGCCACCGTTGAGACCTGGGGTTCCAGGCTCAGCGATGAGTCCAGGATCACTCCCAAGCTGCAAACCTGCGTCTTCAACTATACAACAACTATACTTTCCATAACCAACTTGATCTAAAAACAAAACCCCAAGATCCATAGAATGAAAATACCTTTATTTATTATTTATTTATTTATTTATTTATTTATGGTATTTATATCCTGTCTTTTCTACCCCGAAAGGGGGACTCAGGACGGCTTACATAGGCAGCAATTCGATCCCGTTACATGAACAATAACCATTAAACAAACCATCAAACCATTAAAATACATAAATACATAAGCCAGTAATTAAACAATATAAAAACATTTGTTACCAAATAGAATCGTATCCTCATGTAAATCGCCTTTCCAATCCATTTCCCCTAAAGTGCTAATTTATATCTGCTGACCGAAAGCCTGGTCCCATAGCCACGATTTTACTTTCTTCCTGATTTTACTTTATTAGGACCACTATAAATTCCATGAAATGCACAAATTTTCAACTTCTCTAGAACTCTTCATTGGGCTATCAGAGGCTAAATATTAACAAGCGGCAGGGTAGATGCAATAAAGTTTTAAAACCTCCATATCACTCTATCTAAGGATCCCAAAATATTTTTTTTAATTTAAGATATATAAATTCCTACGATTTATGCAAAAACTGGATCAAAATGATGTCCCCATGGTACATCACCCCTAGTAAATTGGCAAAATGTTTCAAAAGTGTACCCGACAAATGTTGGAAATGCCAAATAAAGGTTGGGACATTCTTCCATCTATGGTGGACATGTGAGAAGACCAAAAATTCTGGAAGGAGGTACACGAAATATCAAAGAAGATACTAGATTTAAAAATGGAAATGAAACCGGAGTACTACCTTTTGGGAAGAATAGATTTTGAAATAGAAAAGAACAAGGATATGTTATTTTTCCATATGGCTACGGCTGCAAGACTAGTCTAAAGAGACACCAACACTAGAAGAGTGGATACTCAAGATACTTGACATCATGAATATGGACAATTTAACACAACTCCTGAGAGCCAAACAGAGCACAGTAATTGAAAAGACAGACTGGTCTCCAATCAAAAATTACTTTAATATTAAATAAATCCAGGCCGGAGAGAGGAAGGCATTGAAGAGTACTGGGCATTGAAGCCCAGTGGCCTTCAGAGGAAGAGTGATGGAGGTGGAGGAGGGCCTTGAAAGTAGAGCGGCGAGGGCAGTGGGGACAGCCCAGCAGGCTATCACCCCTGGCAATGTGGCCTGTCGCTCCCCCTCCCCCCCTCCTCAGACTGCACTGTTAAGGGACTTGGATTTTATTATTTTCTTTTAATAATTTTTATTTTATACCCAACATATTAGACGACCCCCGACTTTTCATACGATTTTCCAGGGTTAAAAGGTCATCTAATACACCAGAAAATACGGTAGTCTCTCAATATAATCATGCCTGCATCAATCAAACTCAGGAAAGCATCTTCTCAGTATCACATTCATACCCATTTACCAGCTGGTTGATTTGAGAAAAGGTTGGATTCTGGATGTGCAGCCTGTCAGTAGCAATGCGGTTCAGAGCTGTGTTGTCTAGCACCACCTGTGAAAAGAGACAGTGCAGGATGAGAGTGCATGGATGGACATCTCTCACTTGTTAAGATATATATACTAGATACAGGTTTATTTATTTATTTATTATTTACACCATTTCTACCCTGCCCTTCTCACCCCCCCCCCCCGGGGGGGGGGAACGACTCAGGGCTGCTAACATGGGCAAAATTTCAATGCCATAATATCAATACAACAATGTAAAATCAAATACACAGCAAATTAAAACAATAACATTAATTAAAATCATATACTCATATACTAACATAGTCGCCTCATCAAAATCACATATCCGTTTCCAATTGTCATAACAATCCTATGGTCTGGGTTCAGGTTGCATTCACTCAAAGCTACTCTTCTATTTATTTTCTACATACTACTCAAGTCTCTTTAATACTAGCTGGGGGGGGGGGGCATGGCACAGCAGATAACAATGGGACCATGCAAAGTAAACCTCTTACAAACCAACCTATAGTTCCACTGAATAGGGTTTTTTAAAAATTATTTTTATTGAGAATAAAATATTCCAGAAAAGATTCCAGAGAAAGAAAAAAGTAATAATGATAAATACATAAACTGATATGAGGTATTTGTTTATGTAGAAAGTAGGTGAACAATGTAATTAGGAAAGTAGGAAAATGAAGAAAAAGGGAAAAGGAGAATTTTTTAAAAATTAAATTAAAGGTGAGAAAGCAGAAGATATAATGAACATTAAAATAGAAAAAATAGAAAGAAGTCCTAGTATAGCTTTATTATCATTATATAATGATAAACAATTGAAAAAAAAGGATAAAGATGTGATAACAAACTTATTAACTATAGCAAGAATGCTTATAGCAAGGAACTGGAAAAGAGAAATAAATATACAAATAGAGGAGTGGTACAAGGAAGTATGGAAATTGGCAATAAATGATAAGCTGACATGTATTTTAAAAGTTAAAAGAGGTAACAAAGTGATTTTGATGATGTTTGGAAAAAAATTATTGAAAAAGGATTAAAAAAGAAAGAAGGAAAGTTACCTCCACAAGAAGAATTGAAATTTTGGACAGATGATATGTAAAAGCTGTGGCTTGGGAGGGGGGAGGGGAGCACAGCAGTGAGGGATAGATAATATGTATAAGCAGAAAAATAACACTAGACGCCAAAAGTTAAAGTATGTTAGGTTATATTGAATAATATGTATCTGCTGTAAAATAAACAATGTATAACAAATGTATTGAACCATGATAAAATAATAAAAATATTTTTTAAAAAGATGAAAGCAGAATAATTTAGTTGTACTTCCAGGTCTCTTCCAGATGGGGAGTCCTCTTTCGGGATTGGGTTTTAACACATGGTGTGTTATGCTCTTTTACTTTAATACTGGTGGGAGTTTTACTTCTCCCTCTGGGATAAAAAAATACCTTCCACAATCACGCCTTACCACACAATCAGCATTCTGTGTCAGCCGCTTGAGTGTCAAGAGAGAGTTGTATGGCTGCACTACTACATCACTCATTTCATCCTGGTTGGGGAAGACTGAATATGTCTGTACCAGTTTCTTAGGATATCTGTTGAGGAGTGAGGTGGTCAGTGACTCAGTAGAGAAATATGTACCATGCCGAAATACTAGGATGCTGTATGGTAGAGCTTTTTCGACATGCACCATTTTGCGACACAGTAATTCAGTTTTACTAGCAAACCAGCCTTTTGTAAAAATATAGACACATGCATAAATTGTAATAACAAATTATGGGGACACAACATATCCCTTGAAAACCTTTCATTTAACTTTTCTAAAATATGCAATTCATCGCTTATTTTACAGACACATTTTTTTCGCCTTACATTTATGCAACATAACTAGACACTGCAGCTGACACAGTTTGGAATTTTTTTCTGTATGGGGTTTGATGGCTGCTTGGGAGCAATTTTAAAAGATCAGATGTCTAAATAAGCAAAAGTACCATATTTTCTGGCATAGAAGACACCCCGCAACTTTTCAAGATAAAATATAGAGTTTGGAATATACTCGCCATGTAAGACTAGCCCTCTTCCAACACTATGCCCATCTAGTTACAAGAAATCCCAAGTGCAATCCTTGTCATTGTGGGGTAAGGGAGGGAGGAGGACATAGGGAGGGAGGGCACAGGGAGGAGTGGTAGGCTGCATTGCCATGGAGGTGGTGGCCCGCTGGGCTGTCCCCACTGCCCTCCCCACTCTACTTTCAAGGCCCTCCTCCGCCCGGCCACACTCCGGACTACAACTCTCAGCAGCCCCAAGCGGCAACGTGCCTCGGATGTGCCCACTGAGGCATTCTGGGAGTTGGGGAACTATGGGACTGGTGAGAGTCGTAGTCCGAAGGTGCCCAGTGGCCTTCCAAGGCGGAGAGCAGGGGGGGGAGGGGAGAGGAGGGCCTTGAAAGTAGAGTGGGGAGAGTGGCGGGGACAGCCCAATGGGCCACCACCCCCGGCCAGTCTCCGTGAAAATGCGGCCTGCCACTCCTCCTCCCCGCGCAATCCCTCCCTGCAGCATTTTCTCCTGATGTTTCGCCTGCATCTGTGGCTGTCATCTTCAGAGGATCTGGCAGTAGTAAAGCACATGGAGTATATATATGTGGAGTGTCAGGAGAAAATGCTGCCAGAACACGGCCATACAGCCCAAAAATCACACAACACTCAAGTGATTCTGACTATGAAAGCCTTTGGCAATACTGTTTGCTTTCTAACTTTTGTACTACAGTTTTTAAACTTGTGTAGTGTAGGACTGTTAGCTGCCTTGAGTTCCCCAGGGAGAAAGCTGGGGTATAAAGATAGTAATAATTAATTAATTAATTAATTAATTAATTAATAGATGATCCATTGGAACTTGTGCCACAAATACCATCCACCTGTGATAAAGAACTGGTGGGTTCACAAACCTGAAAAACTTACAGAAAATGAACACATTAAACAACTTTGGAATTTCCAAATTCAGACTGACAAGATTTTTGGAGCACAATACTCCTGACCTCACAATCATGGAAAAAAATATTGTCGATGTTGTTGGAGCTCAGCCTGTGATTATGTTTCAGGACCAGGGTGCTTTGGATGTAGGGAGTGATGTCAATGAGTTGCAAGATGAGTTTCAAGATAGCAATGGTTTGGCCAGTGATATTGATGTAGAGAATGACCAGGAGATCCCTGTTCAAGGTGTACTTTCCCATGAGAATGTCCCTAAGGGGTGTGGGGATGATGGTGTGTTTTCTGAATTGTAACCAGAGAGTTCTCATGATAGGGAACATGAAAACAGCTCGGCACCTGGCCCAGCTGCAGAAATTAATGAGCAAATAGATAGACGGGAGGAGATCAGTCAAAACAGGAGAGCCGAACAGTGGCTTCGGCGTTCTGCCAGGCTCCGAGAGAAAAAGATAAGAAATTCTCAGCTACAGTGAAACCATAGCTAACGAGGAGATAAAAGTCCCAAGTATAGGATATGTAGTCCGATGAAGCATAGTTTGGAATCAAGTCAAAATCTCGTCCTTGTTCATGGAAGCTTTGCTTGGAAAATTCATGTTTTAAGTGCCTTTTTTTCATGGTTCTTGGATTCTATGCTTTTATATTCATGCCTTGGATTCATGTTTCCTGATTTCTTGCATTTTGGGGGGGGGGGAGTTTTGACTTTGTTTTTATGGACTTTGCTGGACTATTACCCTGGATTACTTTGTTCCTGCTTATCTTCCTACCTAATTGGATTTACCTGTTTCTTTAAAGTGCTTTTTTTAACCTTACTGCTTTTTAATTATCTTCAATTAAAGGATTGTTTTCCATCCAACGGTGTGGTGTTTAAAGTCAGAGGGCTTTTCCTGTCCTGGAGTGCAACAGAAGTTGCAATCCTAGATGACAGCAGAATTGACAAGAAGCAACTGGAAAAGCTTACATGATATGAGTATTTAAAGAGAACTGCAAAGACTCTGGCACAAACCAGTAAAGGTGGTCCCAGTGGTGACTGGCACAATGGGTGCAGTGCCCAAACACCTTGGCCTGCATTTAAAAATAATAGGCGCTGACAAAATTAACATCTGTCAGCTGCAAAAGGCCACCCTACTCAGACCTGCACACATTATTTGCCGGTACATCACCAGTCCTAAACACTTGGGAAGTGCTCGATGTGTGATCAAATACAAAAGCCAGCATAATGATCTTGTTTTCTGGGTACTAATCTTGTTGTGTATCAAATAATAATAATAGATAGGCCTGTTTTGAAATTTTATGATAAACCTAGGAGAAAATGAGATGACTGAAAGACTATCTCCAAGGTTTCAAAGGTAACAAATACAGAACTCATCAATCAAGAAGATGCAGACATCAACCAGAGAGGATCTGGATCCCCCCTATAAGTTTAAGGTAAGTTCAGTGCTACATTCTCGTTCAAAGGGACCATCCAGATCTGAAATGGCCAGCTGCAGTAATATGATAGGCCTAGTTTGGACTAAGCTGAATTTTCTTCATTATATAACACACTGATGTCTTCTATCTGAAATAGGCTTTAGATGAAATTACCATAGCTGTGACATGGGATGAGCTACGACATCAAGTCAAAAGGGAGGAGTGTTCCTTCTATATATTGCCGAAGAATTGAGGTTTTGTAAGCAGTTTATAATAATAATTTAAAATCATCTTAGGAGGATTGAGACCAACCTGAAATCTAAAACAAACATAAAACAGCTTTGGGATAAACCAGAGTAGTCAGTCTTTAATCCCACTGTTTAGATTAAAATGATAAAAATATCTATATTAAAAATAAGGCTCCAATAGTCTATACACCAAGGTTTTGAAAGACGTATTAGACAAGCATGCCTCCAGGAATGTTGGCTTTGTTTAAAACATTGAAGTGAGATGGATTAGGGTAAGATGAAAAATGTGCACAACTGCATTGTTGGTTCTAAAATTAATTGATAATTACAAAGAATAACTAATTAAAAATGTCTGAGCTAAAAAAAAAAAAGATTTAGACTTTCCATGAGTTTACCCTGGCCTTTTGATTTCATTCAACAACTCATTTCTCTCTCTCTCTCTCTCTCTCTCTCTCTCTCTCTCTATGAGAGAGTCCATGAAGCTAGGAGGTGAACGCCGAAAACCAGGCAGACCCCACTTGAGGATGCCACCAGGGAAGGAGGAGGAGGAAAGAAGAGGAGAGGCGGTGGCAGAAGGTGCTCGGTGGCAGGTCCCTAAAGTAGCAGTTCTTCTCTGTTGCCTTCCTTCTTCTCTTCGCTCTAGCAGCAGAATGTTGTGCCAGGTACACTCGGTCGTTGGGGGGCTTGGTAGCTCGGGGAGCCCCTCCAGCCTAGAGGTAGCCTCGGCCTCGCCTCCACCCCCAGTTCCAGCTCTGTTGCTGCTGCTTCCTCTGTGGGAGACTTCTATGACACAGGCATAAAAAACTCATCCCATGGATATTTATTTATCATGTCAGGAGCAGACCAAACAGTTGTATTGCATTTTTTAACAAATCCCATGGATGACAACATGTATTGAACTGAATGCTGATTATGTCGGAAAGTAATGTAAAGCCTATCCTATGAACCACGTAAGATTTATTAAAATATATTCATTCTTTGTATTTTTTAAAAAATCTTGTCACCTTACTTATAACAGAAAGAGTGAAGGGAAAGTATGGACAGTGGGGGGGGGGGCAGAGAAGGGGAAAGGTCGAGGGGGGGGGGGGAAGGATAGTGAGGGAAAGGCATAGTGACCAAGGAAATTGGACACTATTGGGAAGAAACACTTCCAGGTTTTCCAGGTCAGAGTTTATCCTTCTCCTTTCATTTCATTCATCTTTTTTTTAATTTGTTTGTTTATTTGTTTATTTTTTTTAAGCTTATGAAGAATTCCTTGTTCTTTATCGATTTTTTTTGAGAGCTATGGTCTTAATTATGTTTTATTGCTGCTTATTCATATTGTCTCTTTCTTAGAACGCATATTTCCTTGTACTCTTTTTCGACATAGTCTAATACTTTGTCCCAATTTGTTTCTCTAGATTTAATTCTATTATGCGATAGCCTTTGTGTTAATAAGTCCATGTTCATTATATCTAGATTTTTTTCTAGCCATTGCTCTGCCGAGGGGGTTTCATTTTTCTTCCAATATTGCGCCAATTTAATTCTGGCTGCTGTGGCTAGGAAAAAGAAGAGTTTATTTGTATTTTCATCTGCGTCAAAATCTGTTATACCCAACAAGTAATATTCTGGTTTTAAGTCGAATTCAAGTAATATTGTTTTCATTTTTTATGGGTCTCGTACCAAAAAGATTTCACCACTTTACATTTCCACCATATGTGGAAAAAGTCACCTTTCTTTTTGCCACACTTCCAACATGTTCCTTCTTTTCTTCCTTTGTTGAACTTTGCTATTTGGGCTGGGGTTAAATACCACCTGTGGAAGAGTTTTAGCCAATTTTCTCTAGATTTTAACTAATGTTTTATGATATTGTTTAATTTTTGTTTACTCATGCTTTGGCTTATTTTGTTTTGTCTTATATTGTCTTATATTGATCTGATGTGTTATTATTTTGTTTATTCTTTATTTTCTATGTATTTTTATTGTATTTATCCATGTTGTCAGCCACCACAGGGCGGGGTATAGATGAAGATGATGATTATGATTATTATTATTAGAAACAACACAAGATTAGTACGCAGCAAACAAGATCACTATGCTGGTTGTATTGGATCACACATCGGACACTTCCCAAGTGTCTAGGATTGTGTGATGTATCGGCGAAAAATGCATGCAGATCCGAGTAGGGTGGCCTTTTGCAGCTGACAGATGGTAATTTTGTCAGCACCAATTGTGTTAAAGTGCAGTCCAAGGTCTTTAGGCACTGCACCCAGTGTGCCAATCACCACTGGGACCACCTTTACTGGTTTGTGTCACAGTTGTTGTTTTGTTGGTATTATTATTATTACACATGATGAAATTAAATCATATCTGAATTGTGGAAGAAGAAAACAACCAACTCTGTGAACCCTGAATTAACTGGACAAACATACTTTTAAAATACCATAAGCACAAAATGCTAATTATATAATCTGAGAATTTAAAAAACCCATTCAAATGGCCTATACCTTACATACTAGTGTGTAGGGAATATAATGAGATTTAGATATTTAAAGTGCCTAAGAGCATGCTAAGGCAGAGGGCTTGACTATAGTGGACATTTTAAGGCTTCACAAATCCTAGCTTCTCTGCCACTGGAAGTCCGTATTTGTCAAACAGCAGAAACCTTTCTGTTAAGCACAGTGCACTGTTCAAAGTCAATAAAATGGAAAACAAACAGTTCTCATACTTAAGAGTAAAATGAGATATTTTCTTTGGGAATATTCCAAGATGTAGAGAAGATTTGAGGAAAATCAGAGGTCAACCACAGACTGCACAACAAAAACAAATTACATTGTGTGGACCTTGTAATGGGGGATATAACGTGGCTCTCAAATATATTTAGAATTATGATTAGCTAGATCCCAGGAGTTTTTATCTAGTGCATTACAATATTTCTAAGTCCAGAGGATGACAGCCGTATTAGTCAAGTCAATGTTTCAACTAACTGAATTGTCTCCAAATGTCTCTTTCATCTCTCCTTAGAATTTTTGGAAATTATGCATGGAAATGATGATCAAACCACCAGTTCCCATCCAAAATAAATGTGATTTGCTTTGACTGAAACCAGAGAACATTCATTGCCTAAGGGCTGAGAGCTGATTATTTCTCCTTCCTATTTCAAGTCACAACTCCAGCATGTACAAGGCTTGCCTAAGCTGGTGTTTGGGTGGGGTAGCCTTTGCTCTGAGTCAGCTCTGTGTCTTACACAGTCTGCTACCATTCTAGACCGATTGGCTTTTTCACCTATATATGCTCCCCAAGAGTGTGAAAAGTACATGTATTTACAAGTCTTTCATGCCATCACTTACCTGTCATTTAATCTCTCCAGGAGGTAAGAACCCAAACCAGAGCCAGTCCCCCCTGCAATGGAATGGCACAGCACAAAACCCTAAAGGAAAGAGTAGTAGAAAGCATTTGTGTGCGTATATGTAGGGAAACACACATAGAGGCCATCCTTGTTATTGGAAGTACTCTCAATGGAAATATAACCAGCTCTTCTCATGAGCTGGTCATTGACCGTAAGAAAGTCAACTTGAACTTGAATAACCACCAGAACAACAGTGAAGTTGTGGACATCAAAGCCACGCAGTTCTTTCTGCAATCCTTGCTACACCCAGAATCCAAATCGCAGCCATGTTCTTCAGTGTTGCCTTAAACACAAAATAAATCTGTAAAGGTAAAACCACTGAAGAGTCAAGGGCAGCAAAAACCCTCAAAACCTGTCAGAACTTGCAAGTTATTGTAGTTGAGTGAAGACTCCTAACCAAATGTTGCAGTTTATTCTGTCTTGATTTGAGAATCTTTTTTTGTGCAGAGCTCCAAAGACATGTTTATGATATTTGGGGCTCATGAGGGGCAAGGTTGGAGGGAGGAAAAACACCATGGATTAAACCTCCCATTGTCCTTTCTTGTTTTATGTCATATAAAGCCAAATGGCTCAGTCTTGAGATTGGTTGTTGGTGTCTCTTTTCTCCCTCCTTCCAAAAAAACAGGAAGGGCAAGTGGTTAAACACATGATTCAAATTCACCTATTATGTATATACTGCATTTAAATACTTTCCCCCCACCCCGTGAGAAACCCCAAACAGCTCACACACAAAAAAACTTGCTTAAAGAATAATAAAATTAGAACATAGATATCACCATTTTAAAAATCATACATTAAACAACATAAATTGATTTTTTAAAAAACCCCAAATTAGAAAGATGCTACAAAATGGCTTCCTGCAAACAATTAGTTATTAAAGTCCTGCTTAAATAAGACAGGTTTTGCTTGCCAGTGAAAGGAGAGCAGTGATGGGACCGGCCTAGCCTCCAATGGAAGATAATTCAACAACAGGAGGGCAGTCACTGAGGTCCCTTCTACACTGCCATATAAAATCCAGATTATCTGCTTTGAACTGGATTATATGGCAGTGTAGATTCATATAATCAAGTTCAAAGCAGATAATGTGGATTATCTGCTTTGATAACCTGTATTATATGGCAGTGTAGAAGGGCCCCCAGCTTCTGAATCAAGATGCTCTGCTTTGAACTGGATTATATGGCAGTGTAGATTCATATAATCCAGTTCAAAGCAGATAATGTGGATTATCTGCTTTGATAACTTGTATTATATGGCAGTGTAGTAGGGACCAGAGAAAGCTCTCTCTTGTATCCTCACCAAACAGATCCCTGATTGTGGAGAGACCTAGAGAAAGCACTCCCTTGAGGATCTTAACATCGTGATATGTCCATATAGGAAAATATCTATATACATAAAAATATAATGTTCGTTTGTGGGATTAACAGAACTCAAAAAGCACTGGACGAATTGACACCAAATTTGGACACAAGACCCCTCTCAGGTCAACGAGTGACCATCAATCATAAAAACATTGGAAAACACAGTGGAAGGGACTTAAAAAGCAAAAAACCCCAAAAATTACATTACAACGCATGTGCAAAACCACATCTATACACAAACACACATATATACACACATACACGAATATATACACACACATATATGCATATACACACACACAAAACGCATATACAGAAAGGGGGAAGAAAGGAAGGAGAGAAGGAGATAAAAAAATGAAAGAAGGAAGGGAGAAGGAAGGAAAGAGAGAAAGGGGGAGGGAAGGAAGGAAAAAGAGAAGGAAGGATGGAAGAAGAGCAAAGGAAGGGAGGAAGAAATGGATAGAGAAGGAAGAAAGAAGAAGGGAAAGAGAAAGGAAAAGAAACAGAGGGAAGGAAGGAAGGAAGGAGAGAAAGAGGGAGGGAAGGTTTGCCACAGCAACGCGTGGTGGGTACAGCTAGTAATTAGCTGTAGTTTGGTTACAATAAACATACATTCGTCTAAAATTAATTTTCTTATTGGCCTATTCATTTTGACTAACCCTGTATAATAAAGAAGAGTGTTTGTATGGGAAGGACAGAGGTGCGGAGGGCGGAAGGTGTATGTGGCAGCTTTCTGATTGGCTGCCGCTGTGGTGCTATTTGCATATGGTCTCTGATTGGCCAGCTTCAATAGGAGCCCCTGGTGGAGAAGAGGGTTCATGGCAGAAACGGGGCATGACAGAAGAAATTTGCATATGGTCTCTGATTGGCCAGCCTCAAATCCAAGATTCCGAGATGAGAAAGAGAGGAAAGGAAAGGCCGGGGGCTGGGTCAGAACACTCCCAATACAGACCGAAATAGGCACACAGAGCCCCCATCACCCACTCGACATCCTACTGCAGTTTGGAGGAGGATGAACCATGGATGATGGGACTTGCAGTACCACCACTCACATTCTGAGACCGCTGTTAACCTTATCCAATGACTGATCAGGACCACACTTCACACATAGACCTCTCATGACCCACTTTACGTCCTGGTGTGGTTTGGCCGGGGATGCACCGTGGGTCATGGGACTTGCAGTACCATTGCTCAGTTCTTCAGACCACTGCAACGCTCATCCAATTACCAATAAATACCAAACTTGGCACACTGAGTCTCCATGACGCACTCTACATCCAGGTGCAGTTTGAAGGAGGATGCACCATGGATGATGGGACTTGCAATACCTGCACTCCCTTCCTAAGACCATTACAACTGCCAACGATGATGGATCAGGACCACAATTTACACAGAGACCCAGCATGACCCACTCTACATCCTGGTGCAGTTTGAAAGAATTTAGCAATGGATGATGGGACTTGCAGTCACTTCACTCACTTCCTGAGACCACTGAGACCCTCGCCAATGACTCATCAAGACTAAACTTGGCACATGGAGCTTCAATGACCCACTCTACATCCTGGAGCAGTTTGGAGGACGACAGACCATGGATGATGGGACTTCAAGTACCTACACTACCCAAGACTGCTGCAAAACTTATCTAAGACCAATCAAGACCAAAGTTGGCACACAGAGCCCCCATGACCCACTCTACATCCTGCTGCAGTTTTAGAGAAGGGTGGACCATGGATGATGGAACTTCCAGTACCTTCACTCACATTCTGAGACCTCTGCAAACCTCATCCAATGACCGATCAAGACCAAACTTGGCACATAGACCTCTCATGACCCACGTTACGTCCTGGTGTTGTTTGGAAAACTTTGGAGATGGATGATGGGACTTGCAGTACCTTTGCTCACTTCCTGAGACCACTGAGACCCTCGCCAATGACTCATCAAGACTACACTTGGCACATGGATCTCCAATGACCCACTCTACGTCCTGGTGCAGTTTGGAGGAGGAAAGACCATGGATGATCGGACTTCAAGTACCTCCACTCCCTTCCGAAGATTGCTGCAACCCTCTTCTAATGACCAATCAAGACCACACTTGGCACACAGAGCCCCCATGATCCACTCTACATCCTGCTGCAGTTTGAAAGGGGATGGACTTTGGATGATGGGACTTGCAGTACCTTCACTCACTTACTGACACCACTGCCACCCTCATCTAATGACTGATAAAGACCAAACTTGGCACACAGAGCCCCCATGACCCACTCTATATCCTGCTGCTGTTTGTAGGAGGATGGGCCATGGATGATGGGACTTCAAGTACCTTCACTCACTTCCTGAAAATAATGCAGCCGTTATCCAAAGACCAATAAAGACCAAACTTGGCATACAGAACCGCTATTACCCACTTTCTCTAATAACCCGGGCAACGCCGGGTCCCCAAGCTAGTATAATAATAAAACTTTATTTATACCCGCCACCATCTCCCCAAGGGGACTCGGGGCGGCTTACATGAGGTCAAGCCCAGCAATACAACAATGTAAATAAAACATACAACAACAGTAAAAAATAAAATTAGTAATCTGACTCTGAATCCAAATAATCTGAATCCAAGCCACATACGCTTTATAGATCATGACTAGCATCCTGAATTGTGCCCAAAAACAAAGTGATAGTCAGTGAAGCTGTTTCAACAAGAGTTCGCACTGGCCCTTATCCAGTGTTCTGGCTGCAATATTTTGAACCTGCTGAGGTTTCCAAATAGTTTCCAAAGGCAACTCCATATGGAGCACGTTGCAATAGTTTAAACAGGATGTAATTAAGGTAAGGGTGTGATATCATGGGTATATTAAAATGTTGCTTGATTTATTGTGTAATACTGTAAAATAGAGTGTTGACATTGATGCTGATTGGCAGAATGTTTGCGATTTGGGAGGAGCTTGAGTTAGTCAAAGGAGTTTGAATCAAGTGATTGGAAAAGGTTTGATTTCTCTGCTTAGAGATGTTTAATATATAATCTCCTATGTTATGTTTCAATTCCATCAAGAAAATTGTGTTTTCATATAAGTTTAGCTTCCGGAATTGCTATCATTCTGAAAAATTGGTTTCAGATATGGTGTCTGTGGTGGCAGCTTTGAAAGTGGAATAGTGTCCTGTTGTTATAATAGTAGTATAAATCCTCATTTGAATCTTGAAGACATTTAGACTGACCCCACAATGGGAATCACAGAAGAGGAGCAGGAGGCAGTCCTTACATGTAGTGGAGGTGGGATGAGAGAAAGCCCTCTCATTCAGTGTTGCAGAAAACACCGTGAAGTCTTCAATGTGTTACCATGGCAGATCTGACTTCTCAAGGAACAGGAGCAACTGATGCACTAGTACATATTGTGCAAATGCACTCCTGGTCATTGCTGAAACCTGGGCACCCAGGGTCAGGACTGAGTTCATGAAAACACCTTGTTGTGAACCAGGCATCTATATATAAATCTGTTAGGTTGGTTCAACGGGACAGCAAAACTCCACAACCCCCCAACGAAACTTAACCAAAATTCCCATGCCCATAACACAACCCACAAGGTACAAACATATCTACTCAAAATGAAAAACAACACAACAACACACTCACAAAACGGCAAAACAACAAAACTCAAAAAAAAAAACCAACGA